AGGAAGGGCAGGCAAAGAAGAAAGGCAACAAACATTCTAAAAGCTCTAGCAGAGAATCAAATGTTGTGATTCCAAATGACTTAAGGGTAAGTATTCTTTTATTGCTTTAAGGATATAAATCTTTTCAACTTTAGTACCGTTAGGTTGTGCTTCAGATTTTAAGTTGCGGTGTGTCAGAAGCATAAAACATGTCTTCAAAGACACCACCATTCCAGCCATTACACATGTCCAGACACTTTAGTGAAAGAAGTATTGAAAAAAGAGCATGGAGGAGAAAACTGCTTATGGACTGATTTACAAATGGAAGGTATGACATTACAGGAATCAATTTTTAATGTTGTGGACAAGTTAGAACAATAAGCATTTACCTTTTAACCATTTTCCTTTTAAGAAGGCTAAAGTGCAAATCAAACAAATTTTCTGCAATAAGTTAACAGAAAACGTAACAACTGAGAGGGAAAACACAATATTATTAATTCCTTTTAAATAATAGATACCCATAAGCTGACATTACATATACATGTAGACTTGTCATTTAATTGTACTTTTAGGTTATTTTGCAGTGATAATTATTATTGCTTTTAACTCAACAACTTAGTTCTATCAATACTTCCAAACAACTAAAGAAAGAGAGCAGAGGATAAGAAAAGGGAAAATGAAGAGCATAAAGAAAAGTGCAAAAGGAGCAGGCGTTTCCTAAATGTAAGGACTAGCTAAGTCGTCTTGCTTCTGCCATAATAAACTTAAATTTAAGAATAAAATTTTCAAGATAGCATGGCTAAAGCGTGGCTTCTGAATCAAACATTTCAATTCAGTTTGACAACAAGTGTTGTTTAATACTATGACAAATTTGTGCATGGCATTTTATTAACACAATAATAGTTTGAAAACACAATACAATGTGGGATGATATACAGCAATGAAAAATGAAACAATGCCATGCACGAATTTGTCATACACTGTATGTTGGACTGGTATGTTTACAACTGGTGTACAAATACATATTAATTAGTAAAGCATACTACTTGGGTCAACCTTGCAGATAGTTAACCAAATGATATGGGTTTGCTTTAACTAAGTACTGTTTTGTGGCATGAATTTTTTTTCTGGGAGTTCTATTTATTGCTGATTGTTGTTTTCATTTTTATTTCTTTTGTGGGATATCATTTTGAGTTAGAAAAGTATTTCTATTTTACAATAGATTATATGTTTCATAGATATAATTTGGTCTGTTCACTAACTAAATAGTGACTGAATTGTTTCTTTTTGTTCCATTAGAAACTGGAAAGATGTCAGTCATCCTATGAGATGCTACAAGCTTCTCTGACACCAAAAGAAAAACAGTGGTATAGTGAAATCCTTTACATTGATTACATGAGCAGTGAAGAATCAGATTATGAGGAGCAAGAAAAAAAACTTTTAAGATATGTAACCAATATGCTATCATGGGAAAGAACAAGCTTGACAAATGCAGAAGCCAGGCTAGACAGAACCTACAAAAATAATTTGACCCCCCATGCCAGGGCAATGGCTTAGCCAAGGAGTGTTGGTGGCATGTTGGAGAGGCCTGCACTTGCTGGCCCACTTTGGGCTGTCAGGCAGATAAACAATGAGTCATGATTGAAAAAAAAACAACACTTTTTTTACTTTTTATAGAACACATGTACAGGCCATTACTTTTTATCATATATTAATTAACTTATTTATTTATCTATTATGTATTTAATGGCAAACTGAAGCAATTTTTTGGTTAGAACAAATTATTGTCATTTAGATTATAGGGATATAGTTTCTTCCAGTTATTGTTAAATTTATTGACTTATGACAGGGAAAATTTGTTCCTGTTAAGCATAAAATAAGCTAAGTATGTGTGACGTTTTAATTACAAATGGGCAGTAACTTTAAGAATGTGTACCAGAGAATTTAGAATAAAAGAAACTTGAAAAGTATATTTTTTAGTGTGATACGTGACCTGGTGGGTGGCAGTGTAGTAATGAAACAATAAAACTATTCTGATTTCACAAATTTGATTCAAAACTGAAATAAAGCAACACATTTTGAGCAGATTAATTTGCATTAAATGGTACTTTGACAACATTTAATGTTCAGGTTTTGTTTACTTTAATTAAACAGTACTTAAACATACAGTAATGTTTTGGACATATTTAATGTGAACTTAAACCTACATTATATTTTAGCTTTAAGATAGTATAAGCCAGGTTTAAGTCCAATTGAAATCTAGGTATATGTGACTTAAACATCAATTTAAACTTATTAAACCTGAGTTTAAGACAGGATTAATCCATGTTTGAAAATATATCTTTTCTCCTTGTGCTCTCATGTGCTCGAGAACGGAATCCGTGAAGCAAACCGAGGTACTGCCTAACAGCCTTTCCTCGATGGCAAGTCTTACGCATACACAACATTAAAGCCTGTAATATTTTTCTAACTGGCGACGTTTAGGTATCATATTATAACGGCCAGGTGCTACTTTTGTCAATAACCGTTGTTTCTTTGGGGTTCTACTCTTCCTCATTCAGTTTGCGAGCAATTACGTTCATAATTAGCTTAGGTCTAATAGTGCCTAGGTAATCACATTCCATAGGTAAATTTATTGAAACGCTCTTCAGATCAGAAGACTGAAATTTGTCCTGATGCAAAGATACTGATTGAACGAACTTAACCAAAGTTTCCCATGGTTATGCCGCACTGAAGTATGAAAGGGACTTTTACTTTCATCTAAACGAAAAACGAAGAAAATCTCATGCCAATTAGAATTATATTCCCGGCTCTAATTTACACGCAATTGTTTATACTGATACAAACCATTACTGATTAAGTGTAGAAATAAGAATAGTACTTACGATTTATTAATAGCAAATAGCCCTAGTCGTTGAAAGAGCCCATACAACGGGGCTTACGGCCAGTGTGCTTCGGATAAATACAAGAATACTGCCTATTTGAGCCTGTGATAGCGTTGGTCTGCGGTAATATACATTTTAGTCTTAAATTTACCATTCGCTCATGAACTCCACAATTATGGTATTTCTGACGATTGAGTCTGCAAATAAGGCAGAAATAAATATTTTGTCGGCACAAGATACGACAAAGCCTGGGCCTTAGGATCGAGCATCATGGGTAATGATGCAGTGGCATATAAGGGGGAGTATAGCACGTGGTGTCCATCTAGGCTTCAGAACCAACCGTCCACCTCTGGCTGATGACAAATTTATTTTAATTTAAAAATTTTTTTTTCAACTGTGAAGCCTCGTAAGACGGGCTGCCAACTGCTCTGAGTTTGGGCCATGGTTCATACCCAGATTTCCTGTCATATTTTTTCTGGCAGGTTTTTTCTGGCCTCCGTATAACCGTGGTAATGTCCTTGTAAGTGGTTGCCCATCTCCGGTTTTCCCGACTTGGTGAAGTTTGCATGTTAATTATGTATACCTATTTTTGAATGTGTAAGGAATTGACTGTATATTAGGATTGTATATGGTATATCAGTTGCGAATGTAAGCATGTTTGTATGCCTCGGGCAATATATGACTCGGGTTGGTTCTCGGAAAGCTTCCCTAAATAAACTTATTTGGCTTACACTACCGTGTTATTTGCTGTGTAGTGGAGACTAAATATACCGCAGACTTGCATGTAAAAACTTTACTAGGTACGCAAGAAACTTAAAATGTAAGGTAATTGAGACGCATTCTCTCCATGAGCTTTTCGCTACAGGTCGGTTCAAAACAGCAATTTCCTTCAAAATTTGCTGATAAATGATTAGCTTTTACATATAGACCAAAGTTAAGTTTTTTATATGCCGCAATTTTTTATCGTGTTATCAATTATCAAAAAGCTCCCCATCGCTCATTTCGGCGTCAAAAAAAAGTTGGCGATGTGATTTCCTGAATCAATCGAGGCCGCTTTTTGTGCATTGTTTGGTGGAATTTTCGAATATGTACAAAATATTTTGACCGGCTGTCCTCAAAGTTCACTGAAACCATAACACATTTTTTTTTTTTTTTTTTTATCATACTCCTCTACCTTGTGTTAACAAGTCTGATGGGAGAAGAGCTTGTACTGCTGCGATGAGCCGAGATTGAATTGCATATTTGTGGCCCTAGCGGCAGCGGCAAAGTAGGAGTCAAACTGACAAAATAATTTTCAGAGTAAAAAAATGCGAAAAAAGCTGAACTTGTGTGGTTTGTTTATGAAAGAGGATTGATCTAAATATACAAAGCAAGAACAATTCATCAAATCAGAGTTTTGTGAAAAGACGAGCTCGGCAATTTGTTCCATTTTTGATAATCGACGCTGTTAAAAAATTGGCCTTTAAACGCTTAAGCGATTTTCGCTCGGCAAAAACTTACTTTGCAATGTTTGAAAAAAAAAACCAAGGTGGTTTTGATTATTTTATATTAAGATACCTACGCTCATGGGCAAAGTTTGAAAGAAATCGATTTTTCGCACCAAAATGTATTGGACAGCTCTTAGAGAGACCTGCTGCCTGTAATAGAGACATCTGATGCTAAATAATAGCGAGTCTTGTTCGACCCAAAAACGACAAAGCATTACCACGAAAGAAATGTTGCGTCTGTGAAAACAACGACAAAAGCAACTCTCGCGATAAATCAACAGGCATATACACAGATTACAGTTAACAAGAAAGGATAAATGCTGAACGGTGATAAAAAAAAAATATATAATAAAGAAATGATATTCTGAGGGAACTCTGTCGGAAAGAAAGCTTACGTTTTACAAGCCAAGTACCCTAAGCTGCCACAGCTCATCACGATATCTTTAGCATGAAGTGACAAGGAGTATTAACAATCCTGCTGGAGGACATCTTTTTGCACAGCAAGTTAACCCTCCAATTCATCAGGCACTCATTTTTGCTCCCTGCATAAGATGAGCAGAGTTGGACTAAAATTATTTCGCCGAAGATAACAACAGGGAGGGTAATAGAAACGTAACAACCAAGGAATTATGTGAGAAATATATATTCATTCTGATTTATTAGTAGTTCGTGACAAATTTTATATAAACCTAGCAGACTCGCCGAAAGAGATGGTGACGCAGTGCTAGGTTAGGCTTCCCTGGCGTGTAATAATCACACAGCCGCAGTTGTATTTAAAAAACAACCATGTTACAGAAATGAACATAGTTTTCAGAATTAGTTATGGTAAACTTAGTGTAATTTGAATAAACAAGCTTTACATCAACCAGAAAAACAAGCTATCCTTCATGTACCTTACTTTCCTCTCTGGATTGTAATACACTTTCCCAGATCTTTATAAACGGTTTTTTATCAAACAGAGTTGCTTTATTCTTTCCTTAAGTTGAACAAAATTGTTTCCAAATACAATATCATTCCAAAATAGATTATTGATATAATTTAAAATGATGAAACTGTCCATGGAGTAAAAAATTTATCAAAAAAAATTGTTGAAATAGTCAAGTAATTAATCCTTCTGTGATGGAGTAATTCACTTAAAAATTATAAAATGCACATGAAAGTTCTTGTAAAATACCGAAAACTTCCTAAATTTCGTGAAAAAAGACTCACACTCGAATATCAAAATCACGCACTGTCTTTTTCAAAGTAAAATATGTACCTAGGAAATGTAAAAAATTAAATTCTCTGTACTGGAGAGAAGATTTTGATCCCCAAGTTCCAAAGTCATATATGTTGTTTGAGCTATTGCACTTGAGTGTAAAATTGTAGAAGTATTTGCCCCGTGGACCATCACTATTTCCTCGTGAATGACAACCTTGGTCAGAGTTCGAATAGTTCGTGCAATGATTAAAAAATAAAACGAGTTCTCTCTTTCCATAGCATAACGAAAAATCATAGGAAAATTTTAACCAGTAAATCTAATAGAATAGAGGCAGTTAACGACTCTCTATTTACGTGACATAGGGAAATGTCCTTCGACAACTCTTAACTAGTAAATCTAGGTGACCAGTCACTGTTTATCGCTTGGAGAGGAGGGGGGGGGGTTTTGGAGGCGTTTGGGGAGAGTCGCATGGTTTTCAGGGGTACCAAGGGGAGATTAGTCGTCGCTGACAGAGTATAAAGGGAGGACTATACAAAATTGACTGCAAGCGAGGGAGAGGGGGGTCATTGGAATACGACATAGCCTCAGGCCCTCCACCCAGGCGTTGAAATATTGACCGGTCCCTAAGACCTCCGAGACATTCGACGACATTCTTTCGTAAAATAAATGGAAAAACTTTTCTACTGCTTGTTGATCACCAGCTCAGTTTCAAGCAGAAAATGTTCCAGAAATCGCATTTTCTTGATTACATCATAGCCACTAATCTGCATCCATGCCACCGTTATAACGTTGTGACTTCATAGCATTGATACTCTTTTGCATTTTATTTCGATGCCCAATCAAACTGATGCCCATTTCCCTCAATTGTTTTTCCTTCAGTTCAGCGACTTTGCTCATATCATCGATTCGTGCTGCTCGGAACAATTCGGAATACTTCTCCATGTTGATGTGTTGTAGCCACTCGTCTACTGACTGGAATTCTGGAGTATGATTTGCTTTAGGACTGGAATAATACATGAATAAATCAGTAAGGATTTTTTAAGGGGTGTTTTTAATCAAGGACTAAAAATGCCTTGACGTTTCCTTTTTTCTAAACTTTTTCACTTCATCTCTTTTTTTTGTAGAATCTTCTGAGCGGGTGTTCAGTTGCTTTTGGAGTGGAGTTTCATCAGCTTTCGCGCCCACAGCAATTTTCAGCCTTTCCTTCTGTGTCCTCCGAGTTCTCGGATATTTCGAATGCATCTCGTTAAGATACAAAACATTCAACTGTTCTGATGTCAGCTAAACAAAAATCAAGAGAGGACAATTTGGAAGAATACAAGGCCTTTTTTTGTTCAGAAGGTTGATGGAGAGATGTTGAAAAATACGAAATGAAGGAGAAGTGAAAAGTTGCACGCGTAGATTCGTATGACATAAAAAAAGACAAAAAAAAAGTGATCTTTATCAATGATTCTTGCTTATCTTCCTTAACGAAAAAACACATTCTGTTATAAAAAGATGGAAACTTACCTCTCTGGGAGAGAGGATGAATCACCCTTCAGGAATTCAGGGGATCGAATTAGTTCATCCAGGCGAGTGACAATATCAGAAAAATTGGGCCGTTTGGTTTTGTCTTTATGCCAGCATTCGATCATTAAACTATGGATGATTTTCGGACATCCCTGTACAAAGAGAAAAGTTATATAAGGATGAATTTTAAATGGAAATAATTTATAAATTTGAAATATTTTAAAATCCCCTAAAGAGTTTTCACCTAAACTCTTAATGTGATTGTATTTTCAATTGTTTTAGAGAGTAGCCAACATTTAATACTAAGAGAAGACGGGTTTTAAGGGGGAACGGAGTGGGGATCGTCTGTAACAGTGTTTAAAGAACGGACCATAGCATATTGATTGCCAATGAGGGGGTTCATTAGCATCCTACTGATCGTTATAGGCGGTTCAGGTAAATATTATTTTGACACAACCAAAAAATGGTCTCTAACGACGACAAAGCTCAAAACAACTTTCTTAAAGTATTTCAAATAAGCGTTCAAGTAATGTTTTTATTTCTTGATTTTTAAGTCTTGGTCATGAGTGATGCAATTTTTCTTAATTGTTCTGGCTTGCTGTGGTGTTTCACCATCACGACACCCCGGTTTAAGAACAAGACATCAACAACAGAAACGCAAAGGAAAAGTAATTCAGCAGTCACATGTTTGTTATTGCAAGATTTACCTGTGGAGGTGGTAATCTGTATCCAGCTTCCACTCGCCTGATAACCTTGGAAAAAATTATGAAAAGCTTTCATTAATAAGTTTTAAGTTACAAATATACATTGGTAATTCATTCATAAATTCATAAAGAAAAGCCTTCGATCATCATTTCTTCAACTTAATTATTTAGAAAAAATAAAATAATTAAAGAAAAAAGTCGGTGAGGCTCAGGAAATATTAATATCCGATGGGCGTCAATAGTTGCCCCTTTACAATAATAAACCTCAGCTTTGAAAGAAACTTTTCATTTAAAACTTCTAGGAAAAGAGACAGTTCATCTTTATCACAAGTTGAAATTCTCGTAAATGAAAGCTTGCCGCTGTTATAAACCGATTATCTCTCTTTTCTACGGAGTTAATGATAATGTTCGTTATCACGCGGTATCACTTACATCGAAGTTGTCCCAATCCCAGTAGGGTCTGTCACAATATGACGTGATCTCCCACATTAGAATGCCAAAGCTCCAAACATCACTAGCTGAACTGAAGGTCCGATGCTGAAGCGCTTCTGGGGCTGTCCAACGAACTGGAATCTTACCCCCCTTTCGGGTAATTGAAACATAAACAAGCATTTGTAAAGGATGCAAGTCACATGTTTTCTTCGCTAAAAATCTATACCTTCGCTTAGTACTAGCCTCTACTAATGGGTGTTGGAAAAGATACTTAAAGATCAGCAGGAGACTTGATTAATGGGAACAAACTGGGACCTCACGTTGTGGGTCACTTTCTTTGAAATCGCACCTAGCCTTCAGATGAACTTCCGAAACATGATCAAATAATGGCGGCCGCGAAATCTTTCTCTCGTAACGAACTGAAATTTGGCTGGGCAGGTAAGAGAGTCACAATGTACCCGAACATGTGAAAAATGAAATACGAAAATTTTGATCTCAGGGGACTAAGTCTTTCATTCGAACAGAAAGAAAACAAGAAAGAGCATGAAACAGTGCCTGCTTCACTGGGTGACGTGAATCACTCAAAAGAAAGGTAAGACTGTGAAATAGGAAACACGTGGTCTTTACTGTCATACTGACATAATGCGTCACATTAATCGCAAATGTTAGCGCGCAACCTAACGTCATTGTTGATTTTCAAAAAGTCAACATTTACCTGTGTCGTGTATTCAGCTTGCGCCTCATCGTCTTCAGCCAGTTCTCTTGAAAGACCAAAATCTGATACTTTGCACAGCATGTTTTCGCCCACAAGAACATTGCGAGCAGCCAGATCCTAAGTAAAGACAAACATAATTACAACTTCTCGGTACTCAATCAGTTTTAAGCTATAACTGTAACAGCTAAATTCAAAACACTGAAATGCAGAATAAGCCAAAATGCGTTTAGATCTTGAAGAACAACGCCCTCCTTTACGTTAAAATCGTCACTTTTACATGGAGATTATCCCACTGAAACTGAGGCTAACTAAGAATTCTGTGAGGCACGAAGATCGCTGACCTCACACTTCTGTGGCGCGCGTTTCCTTCTGCAACTGATGTCTCATGAGAATTGAATTTTTGGTTGGTTATCTTCTTGGCCACGAAAGTGTCACTCTCCAGGTTTATGTTTTTTTCTCCAAATAAATCACTTAATTCTAAATTCCAAACCCACCTGGAAACAGTGGACGAACGACCTCGTAGTTTGTGTACCAATGTTGACATCCAGGGCCCAGTTGTAGAACTGGCGGGTAACGCTACGCAGCGGATAGAGATTTATCCGACGTATAGCGTTATCCAACCTTCCAACAACTGGGGCCAGATGTGTAAAATTCATATTAACCAAATTAAGGAACGATAGAATGAAAACAATGTATAAAGATACATATATACCCGATGAATGAAGTTTAATTCTGAAAGGTACTTCATTCCGTGAGCCACGCCTCTGGCCATTCCAGTCAACTGAAGGCTCGTCAGCTGACCCTTTCGGTCCTATGAGGAAACCAGATTATTCGGCACCGTTAGATATTTTAACTCCTGAGGTAACTGGGATCTAATTTCTCTTTACAGCGTTGCTGCTGAATCAAACATTAAGACCACGAGAATATGGAAAATTATCACAAACTAAAAAGCCTCTTGATTGTTAAACAAATTCTCCTTGTCAGTACCATAAGAAAAGTAAAAGGAGCAGTATGGAGAACAAACATGCAGATGAGAGGACGTGAAGGGTTTAGTCAAAGCGAATGATGGACACTACTTTAAAAACACTACAATTACTGCCCCAAAAGGTGCCTGGCACGATATGAGTAGTTACTCGTAGTTACGAGCGCTGGTCACCCAATCAAAATTTGCTTCTTCGGTCTTTTGATTAAGTTTGAGTAGTGTTTTGTTGTTGTCGTTGTCTTTGTTAGGAGAGAATTCTTAACCTTCACCAAGCGAGGTCAAATACCAGCTCCTTCTTCCAAGCTATCACTGACAAAATATAACTGAAAAAAACAGATGTTAAAAGGGAACCTTTAAATAGTGATCCAATGATCCACTTTTCAGGAATTCTGTTAAAATCATCATTGGTCTACCTAAGGGCATAGCAAATAATTCAACTTTAAAATTTTGTGTCAATATAAATAACAGCATATTTCAATTTTGTAAGTAACTAAATACCCTCGTGACAGATTAATCAGTTCTCCACTCACTTCTTGTCACCACTCCGATGAGGCGGATAACATTTGGATGATCGAACTGGCCCATTAGGGACGCCTCGGAGAGAAAATCTTTCTGATTTTTCTCACTGGAACCAGGCTGGGATGGAGAAAAATGATCATTGATTCAGCAACATAGCGCTATCTATGATAGGATGAAGTATTTCATTTGAGAAAATGAAGTAACGAATGCAAAGCCACGCGTATCTGCGAAAAATGTATTGAGTTAGAAAGATTCAAGCTGTACAGCATATATATCATCGAAGAAAGTATGATACAACTTACCCTCAAGACTTTGACAGCAACCACTCCTTTGCCTTCACGAGACTTTAATATTCCTCTGTAGACATCCGCAAACTCCCCTAAAAAAGAAGAGACCAATTGAAAGCGAATATATGTGTGACAATAATATATATATATACATACACCGTTTTCAAAAACGTTGCCATTTGAAAATATATGTCAAATATATAGAGGTTTTCTATTCTTATCAAAAAGGTGTTGATAGAAGAAATTAAAGGAACAATTTATCATAAGGAAAGTACAATAGCTGTTGTCAAGATTTCCAAAGTATTTGTTTCACCTTCGCAAAATTTTTTCGCTTCAAGTGCCCATTTATTCAGATACATTATGTAGATCGAATTAATGAAGGTGAAAAAAAGGTAGAACGATTCAACTGTGGTCAGTTAGACAAGTTTTCCAGCTAAATACGTGTCTGATTGCATAGATTATGAATCAATATACGCTTCCTGTGTGGTCCCGAGGGAAAACAAAACTAACTTGTTTCCCCAGGGGCCTGTACCTTCAGTGCTTTGTTATATATTTAGACTTTCCTTAAAAAATCATTTAGCAAAAACATACTGTTGTATTCGGCACGCGGGCAACAACTGCGCAACTGTATCCCGGTCGGGATTGGTCGGGATACATTTGAATTTGATCAGAAGCACGTGACCAAGAATCAAGCAATCACAGCGCTCGTTTTGTTAAGTGGAAGTCTATAACAATAATCATTGTTCGAAATAACTTGACGATGAACGACATAGGACTACGCAGTTACTTGGAAAATTCACAAAGGTTTTTGCTGCATCTTTCAATAATAATAATAATAATAATCTCAAAACAAAAATTTGATAAAAGTCGCATTTAGTGGTAAAATCTTCCAGATGTACGCATCGAACAGTTCTACTCTAAGTCGTACCGTTGTACATCATTCATGGACAAATTGCACTATTCATCTAGCCATTTCTCGATGAGATGGTATTCATACGGTCAGACCTACTTTTTCACAGTTATGTTTGACTTTAACGGCTATAATTAAACAGCCCTATGACACCAAAGATGGCGCTGAATATAACTAAAAAGTAATATATATATATATATATATATATATAAATATTATGAGAGGAAAAAACGACGCAACTACATATCCCGACAAGCCTGTTTCGTGAATCGCTTCACTCTTCAGGGGTTTAATGAAAGAATATTCATGTGACTATCGTTTATACTAAGAAAATTTGCATAATACGCGGTAAACTTAAAAACTTTAAAGTTCATCTGTTGCGTAACAACGCTTTGTTTCTGTGTCGGCATGAAGATACGAGTTCGTTACGCTTATTTAGTGATGAGAGGTCGGGTCGGTAAATTATCAGGAATTTTTCTTTTAGGCAGAGGTTGCATCTTTTACTGGAACTGTTGTAGGGAGAGTTAGATGATAAGACGCGCCATGAAATAGAGTAGTCAATGTTGTCGTTCTTGAGTGTCCAGATGTGTTTGCTAAGTTCGGTAGAGTTTTTTGTGCTTGTGGCGGAATGATGCGGTGTGATTTCTGTGTCTTGTTTTGAGGTCGGTTTCTGTGAGTCCTATGTATGTTTCAGAGGTGTTGTTGTCGTTCCGTGTGACGGTGGTTTGATAAACGACTGAGGATTGAAGGCAGTTACCATTGAGCGGGCAATTGTTCTTTTGTCTGCAGTTGCATGTTTTGTTGGTTCCCGTGCCGTCTTTGTTGTCTTTCGTGTAAGGTGGGTGGGACGAGTGTAAGATGCGCTTGTTGTGGTTGTCGATGACCTGTTTGGTGTTGTTCATACAGCTGTAACTGATTTTGATGGTGTTGCGGTTAAATATCTTGCGGAGGCTGTGATCCTTAGGGAAATGTTTGTCGATTAGGCTGAGGAATTTGTGTCCGATATTATTAAGTTTACCGCGTATTATGCAAATTTTCTTAGTATATAAACGATAGTCACATGAATATTCTTTCATTAAACCCCTGAAGAGTGAAGCGATTCACGAAACAGGCTTGTCGGGATATGTAGTTGCGTCGTTTTTTCCTCTCATAATATTTATTCTGCTCTACTTCAACGTATTGAGCACTGTTCCACGCGAAAATCGACCTGCAGACTTCCTATATATATATATATATATATATATATATATATATATATATATATATAAATATTATGAGAGGAAAAAACGACGCAACTACATATCCCGACAAGCACGAAACAGGCTTGTCGGGATATGTAGTTGCGTCGTTTTTTCCTCTCATAATATTTATTCTGCTCTGCTTCAACGTATTGAGCACTGTTCCACGCGAAAATCGACTTGCAGACTTCCTATATATATATATATATATATATAAATATTATGAGAGGAAAAAACGACGCAACTACATTTCCCGACAAGCCTGTTTCGTGAATCGCTTCACTCTTCACCCCTGAAGAGTGAAGCGATTCACGAAACAGGCTTGTCGGGAAATGTAGTTACGTCGTTTTTTCCTCTCATAATATTTATTCTGCTCTGCTCCAACGTATTGAGCACTGTTCCACGCGAATATTGAAATTCTCATGATTTGCTTGAGATTTCAATTTCTAACGGCTTCCTATGCATCAAGTACCAGCTATGTCTAGCATAAACAGAAAGCATACTCCGTCGTTGTTGTTCACATTCCACAAAATACATTCATTTTGTGATTCCACGTTGCCTCGACGAAATCACGAGGAATTGCTTTATTATTTAGCTTTGTTCTTGTTTTGTGACCTTACTGGAATGGACATCTTCTGATATTCCACAGTTAAAATGCTTTTATGAAGCCATGAGGTTGCAGCTTTGAGTTTACAAGCTACACATTTTCTTTCGACGTGGCTCAACAGATTTGGGGAATAGTAGTTCAGGTGATGAATGACTCCCGAAACAAAGGTACGTACAAAAATGTTATTATTGATGTCATTGATTACTATTGTCGATGGCACCGCGCAAAGGCTGGTGTAAGACAATGTTAGTATGTACAGCGACTCTCACACGATTACAAAAGAGATATTGTTCCTTTGATGTGCAACATACATGCACCGTTCATCACCTTTTTGATGAGAAAACAAAAGATATATATACATATATAAATATATATAAAGTGTAAAATTTTGACTTTCGTAAAACAGTGCTCAATACATAGGAGTAGAGCGATGTATATATTTTGGGAGGAAAAAAGGAAAAAGACAAATAAACTACAAGTTCATCCCTACAGGCCTGTTTCGTGGTTGCCCACTCATCAGGGGATTTTCCCTGATGAGGGGGAAACCACGAAACAGGCCTGTAGGGATGAACTTGTAGTTTATTTGTCTTTTTTCTCGCACAATATATATATATATTTATATATGTATATAATTGTGGGAAATTTGAACTATATATATATAATATATATATATGTATAATATATATTTTCCAATTGCAACGATGAACACACATAACCTCATAAGGATTTATATACACAAAAAGTAAAACATCTACCTTGTCCGATAACTCCTTCGAGTTTAATGTCGCTTCTTTTAAGTTCAGTCGTAAATGATGTCAAAAGTTCTTGCACGTCATTGTAGTCGTTTGGATCGATATAACTTCTCTGGTCTCGGGGATTTGTAGTTTGAAGTTCACTTCCTAATGGTGGAAAGTTTCAAGAAATATGAACTTACGTCACGCCTTTAAACATATTAATTATGGTATTTCACCAAGGAAGAAGCGCCGTTTCTGTGCATAAATGACAAACAGTGCTCAAAATTGTCATTGGTTTGCTGTCACTGCACATTGCCCTAGATTAAATCATAACTGCACAATTCCATTTGTATAAGTGACTTCGCTAGAGTAGTAGTACGTAGCGAAAGAGAAGAGAACGGAAAATCATGAAATATCAAACGTAACTGAAATTTGTAATTGCTCAGGTGGTTAGAAAGATGCACAAAGGCTAATTGGTCGAGTCAAAATCATATCACGAGAAAATGCAGACATTATTTAAATCACTAGTGTGAAAATATTAAAACGATAATTCTCCAAAGAAAATAGAAACATTTAACAAGATAATAAGCCCGAGATTCCCATTGTGTCATAGTTGACGAGGGCTGAGTCAGAACCCAGTCTCACGCACAGCGAATGTTTGTTTTTTCGTAAATTTGCTAGTCGTTCAATTCTGATCCAAAGGAAAGGCTCATGCTTTTATTTCATTGTATTTACAGCCACACTCTGTTGGGGTTTTCACTTTAATAACTGTCTATCGAGTAACAAGTAATAACTAATGTAGCCAATCAGAATGCAGCATTTGTGATAGAACGCCAGTAGATTTATACTATTACCGAAAAGTCTTACCTAGTTGAAGGGCTTCCATATAGGCTTTCTCTACACTCTTTTTACTTCTCCTAGTTAAACACAGATAAATATATTGTATCATACTTAGGATAGAAAGGGGGATGATAGCTCCCGTTTCACCGAATGGAAGACCAGATCTCAAGGTAATTTTCAAAACACCTCATTTTGGAAAGACTCACCTTCTACGAGACACAACGCAGGCAACAATGACCACTATCAGTATGATAAGTAGCAGTGCTCCTGCTCCTCCGGCTGCGTAAGCAATTAGCCGCAATTTCTTCGAGTTATCTGTGGCCATTCAATCAAAAAATCAATCGATTAATCTCTCAATTACTCGGTAAAATTATCGGTGCAGAAGATACGAGAGAACTTTCACAAGCAAATACCTCCAATTAGAGTCACTTTATAACTAATCATTTTTCTAATTCCGGCTTTACTTCCTCTTTCAATTTATCTTTCTGTCAAGTTCTCCTGAATTCCAGTTATAATTTCTTCAGCCTTAGTTGCAGCTATGTTGGTGTCATTTTGCCGCAATGCACGGTAAACAAATTTGGAAATGCAGCGTTTTCCTTTTGGCTGATTTCATTTTGCGCTGAAGTCACAATAATGCCTGGAGGAAAGATATCAAGGCTGGTAGGGTCTAACTGAGAGGGTAAGATAAGTGAGATAAGTAGGTATTATTAATTCGATTAAACAGTAATTTACCGACCGTTTCTCAATGTAAAGATCTTCACGCCAGCCTGTCCCTTACCGTTGTCGTTTACGGCAAATACCTGAGAAGGAAAGAGTCAAATGAATGATTTATTTAAAGATTTCTTTAAACAATTTTCCAGACGACATATACCTAATTTACAAGAAAAAGCGGGGTGATCTTTGTTGCTGAATTTAGACCACTCAACGAGTCGATCGTGCATGGCATTATTCAGACCAATTTTTTAATCAAGCCATGTCGTTTATTCCTAAAATACGTTTTCCAATAATGAAAAATAATTCTTAACAATATTCGTCTCACCATAAACTCGAAGATATTTGTGAATCTGGACAACGTAACAGGTTAGCTTCCGCCATCAAAAACCAGGCTACGGTATTTTCCCAAGCTACTTAAAACCCACTTCCTTTTTCATTAGTACTAATTCTTTGATCAACTCCACCTTTTTCTTTTTTTGACGGGTTAGGTTGGTGAAATGGCAAAAAGAAGACCTACCTCGAATTTATAAGTTTTTCCCGCCTTTAAATCAAACTGTATTTCCGTTCTTTTCGTCTGACGACTCTTGGTTTCTGACGAATCATTTGTATTTATGTACGTCACGTGGTACTCCTTAATAACTCCATTTTTTCTCTTCAGTATCCAAGACACAACAACAGCCTTATCTGGTTGTTCAACAGACACTTCTGGCATACCTGGGACTAGTTTGTCAATCAAAGATGAATGAAAATGTTCAATTTTTCATACAGCTGCTACCGTACGTAACGGGAACTAGAGCGTACCTCTCTTCTACCTCTCAACAAGTAGTGCAAGGACTACGTTATCGAATTAAACGAAATCATATCGAATACAGTCAATTGTAGATATTTCTTGGAATTCTGGAACAAACACAATTAGAATAACAATAAAACATTTGAAAGATGTTGAAATACAGTTAACGGCACTGTTTGTTCTCTTGGAAACAACTATTCACAACATAAAAACATTGTTACGTCAAGATATATAAACCTAGGTGAACTCAGTTTCAGTCAGATTGATTGGGCTTTCTTTCGACTGATACTTTGTAAAGAAACTTACTCACCCGATCCATTCGTCCTTACGGTGATTGTCTCGAATTTTCCATCATCTCCATGTTTACTTTCAGCAACCTCACTCACTCTATTCCTGGCGTAGATTTTGATAGTGTAGTTTATAAAGGAAGAAAGGTTACCGACAATGACTTGAGCTATGCTCAGCTTCACCTGAGATGGTTCGTAAACGACGTCATTCCCGCAAGCTTTATCCACACAATTGCTGTCGTCATCAATGTCGCATGGCTTACGGCAGTAGACGTCGTACCATACTTGAGTCTGATCACCAGTTACCTGAGGGGGCTGCCATTGTAACCCTAGTGCGCTTTGGTTAACGAAGGTCGTGTGGGCATTCCTTGGGGCTGATGGTAAAACTATGTGAAAAAAAAGATAAACACATCCTTAGTTTGGGATAGTTGGAAAAAAATGAGTCTCTCTCTTTCATATGTGACCAGAACTACTTGGACAAATTTAACGACCTTTTTTTTCCGGAAATTAAACTTGACTCCGATTGACTCAATTGTGCCCATCAATGCTTAGGATCGAGTTGCTTTCATTTTAACACCGAGTCTCGTATTGTATCTACCTACTTCTCCCATAGCATACGTCTGAGCCGTTTTTCGTTTATGACTTATTTGTCCCCACTGTAGAAACATTTTTTATTTTGAGTGATATTCGTGTTTCAATCGCTTAAAAAGGGGGAATTGAGATTGCCGAGGAATTCACGTGAAAGGCCAGATGTAGAGTGCGTGATTGAGTCTATTAAGCCATATCGAGAATCGAGGTATCGATAGCCACAGTAATGTGCTGACTTTCAAATTTGTTATCAAATTGAAACAGGACATATTTCTAAATTTTTTCCGGTCTGGGATAATTAAATGAGTACCATTAGACTCTTAAATTGTAATTCTACATCATCTAACAGAGAAGAATTTTTGTAGCATTTTCTCTCGTACCTGTGCAATTAAGGCCACTCTCGTCGTTGTATTTTCCCTTGACACAATCTAACGAAGCAAATACAAATGACCAATTGGTCAATAGATGACTAAACTAATTACTTGAGAGATTACGAACGGAACATGTAACAATTTGACTTTAAAACTTTGCCAATTTAAGAATCTTTTTCAATTTCGTTTGAAAGTAAGTCCCAGTGTTCGGTTATGAAAAACTCTATTTACGGTTTGTTAAGGATCTGAACGTAATTCGGCGAGATTCTGCGGTGTACAACAATTGCTGATAACGCAACCTTGAAATATTACAAGGTTCTCGATAGAAAAGATCAGGAAAAATGAAAATTAAGGTGACATGATACCCAAAAATATAGGAAATTTTGAAGGTAAGATTTGAACTCGATTGTACTTTTTCTGCTTAAAGGCTATTTACAGTTCCCGGAAAACGTAAGTTATTTTTGTTTGTCTTACACTATTCATTTTTCTTTTTTTGCAGTACCGCTGTCATTGGCCAGTTACTCTATGAATACGTGATCACTTTCTTTTGGGAGGTCTTTTTTCGACCAGAAAACTTAACTAGATTACGAGCTAGAGAAATCTATCGTGTGATGAGAGAGAAAAACCCGAGTCAACTTTCACACTTATATAACGAGAATAAATAATATAATCTTTTTCCTTAAATAAACATACGCTCGTTGTTCGCTATCTGCCACGGAATAGGTAGCGAGTAGCGCGGTAGATCATGCAGCTGTGATAGAATGTTAGTAGATTAACATCAATACTAGTTAGACCTTGTCTCCGCATATCTACTTTTCTTTCCAAGATCCTCGATCGTGTCACGGGTGTGCACATCTTCCGCGAATTCTCCCTACCGCTTATGTTTATACGAAGGTTTGTAACAAGAAAAGAGTCCTTTGTTGCTGTTATAAAATATTCCCAGAACTCATACGTATCAAAGAGGTCAGAATTGTGTCGATAATTATTCTCTCATCCAAACGCACCTATCAGCCAGTGAGACGCGCGCATCATCTTAAATGTTTGATAAATACGTGTGTATTTCGTACTCGGCCGTTAAATAAAGTACGACTCTCCTTTTGTTTGGCCAGAAAAAGTCAACTAATCGAAACTACTCTACGTAGTGAGAATCAGAAGAATATCATGGTCAAAAATATCCTCAAGATAAGAATATGATGTTACTTTTTCATAGAAATTATGAAATTAACTTTCAGTAAAAACATCAAGTGGAGTCTTTTACTTTTAAAGTAAGTACGCGTTAAGGATTTGGATTTAATTACAGCAACGACCATAGCAAGCATGTTTCAAATAATCATCAATTCCTTAGAAGAATGATTATATGATGTGCTGGTATGCTTAACCTGGTCCAACTGGAATTTATTTACCAACTCTTTCTATCTTAATCTAACCAGTTAGGTGACGTACCTTTGCATTCTCCTCCACTATTCTCCAAGTCTTCCTTGCATATACATCTTCCTTCAAGTGAACTGATGTTCCAAACGCCATTGCTTTGGCAGTCCACACTTGGAATACCTTGCTCGAAGTCGGCATTTGTAACACAAATGCCTTGAACTGGCTCAGGGCTGTTTGCTGGAGCCATAGACTGTGGTAAGGACATCAAACCACTAACAACAGCAAATTTTGGGCAGAAGTAATAACTGACTGTGACAGAGTGAATGGTGCTACACGAACCCTGGTTATGAAAGGCCAGAACCATGTAATTTCCTTTTATTTCGACTCCAAAATTTTTTGTTAACTTCCGAAAACCAAGGGTCGGCGCAATTATTTCAGCAATCTTTTCATAAGTGATATTGTTCTTGGATGGATCAGGTACCGTCGAACCTCTGGACTGATGCACGTAAAAGTCAAAGTATTCTCTACAGAAATCACCTCCACCTATGCCTGAACAGTTCCTTGTATTGTATTGAAAGGTAACATCAACCATTTTAACTGAATTCGGGACTGTGATACGATTGCTGGAAAACCAAGCATTTGGTTGTTGTCCACTGACCTTGCAAATCGAGTAGCGTGGATTACCATCAGGATCATATGTCTGTGTCCACTATTCAGAAACAATTATAAAATAACAGTATTTCAGTCCCCGGGTTTTCCAGCTAGTAAGAGCTTAGCAGTGTGCTTAACAAAGGCAACCGCTGGAGTATCAAAAATATGCATGATCAATGAAACACTGGTAAACGTTTTAACATTACTCGATAAATAAAACCATACCTTAAGAGGTCCAACCGATTGTGGATTCCAATCGTTCCACTTTTTACCTATCTTCGGCCTCTTTTGTAAAACAACTGTAAAGAAAATATTGTGTTTAAAAGTAAGACATGCGACGAAGCTAATCATTAACGGAGATACTTAATACTCAAGGTGGTAATAAAGGAAGGTTGAAGGCAGCCTGCTGGTGTTTACTCAGGTCAACAGCAATTTTCTCTTTACAAAGTATGGTTGGTGTTTCGTTCCTAATTAGCTCGCACATAGCATGATTCATCTAGGAGCTGCTTTATTAAACAAGACACCAACTCTTCAAGCTTCTTCTCTTCTTCAGCAATCTCAGTAGCATAAAAACGATGAAAAGGAATGATTACCACAAAAAGAATACTCATGGTGCCGTTTTCTTTTATTCTGGTTGGTCTTTGCCTTTGATTTTAGGACTGAGACAGTAGAAATTTTATGTTCGACCCAGAGTGCATGTACCAAAAAAAAAATAGACAAAGAAAATGTATGAAAACCTGCAGTTGAATGCACTTTTCTGAGGGTCAAATTGCTCATAATCTTAACATTTGCCTAACTTCTGAATTACACAGCCAAAGTGTCAAATGCATTGACTGTAATCAAAAGAAGGCCTTTTTGTCTGTAAATCAGTTAACTTATGATTCTTGTTCAATTTGATCTAATGAAACTTTTATTACGTTAAGTTGTCGCTATTACTCAAACGGGCACTTTTGGATACGAGGAGAAATAAGATAACGGTTTAATGACATTTCTTATCTCATACCTTTATCAGTCGATGAAAAGGCTACAATTTGCAGTAAGATGAAGAGGAATCGTATTCGATGATCCATAAGCCACGTACTGTGCTTTTCACTGGAAAGCAATAAAAATAGTATTACTGAGCTTTTCACTGGAGAACAATCAAAATAGTATATACAGTAGAACCTCGATTTAACAAACCCTAAGTAACGAAGTCCTCAGTATAGCGAACGATACTCTTCAACCCGGCCAAAGTTGCAGTAAAATATACGAGACGGAACCTCGATGTCACGAACCTCGATTTCACGAAATCCTCGTTATATCGAACTCAATGCAAAAGCCCAAACGCGTAATATACCCTGATATAACGAACAAATTTCGACAGGTGGCAACTTTTAAAAAATCTTAAACTAAACTAGTGGGCAGCACTCTGCGAACAGTAGTCGTAAAATTCCTTCATTCTCCGACGCATTTCATATAGCTGTCGTCGACTTCTTCAGGGACTTTTACATGCTAACACTAAAACTAAAACCGTGGCCCCAAATATTTTTCTCACCTTGCTTAAAATGTTTTCAAAATCTTTCACCACTCTGCCTATTCCTGTTCGTAAGTCCAGCCAAGCCTATGTGGTAATTGGCCTCCGTAATAGCCGCTAACCATGGCTTATAAATACAAGTGTTTGGTGTTAACTTGTAAACTCCTTGGGGAAGTCTACGACGGTTAGACGAAACCCCTCGGAGATTAAAGAAAAGTTTTACAACTACTGTTCGCAGAGTGCTGCTTACCAGTTTAGTTTTTGATTTTTTTTTGTAAATTCTTCGTTTAGACATTAAAGCTAAAATGTTATTTACAGTAACTGTTCCGATCCCAAAATGCTAAGTACCGCAACGTCACACCACAAAAAAAAGGAAAAGAAAAAAGAATAAAAAAAATAGTAATTACTAACCATACCTCGATATACCGAATATTTTGGTTTTTCTCCGCAAATTCGTTAAATCGAGGTTTTCGACAAAACGACTCGATATATCGAACCAATTTCCTTAGTGCCTTGACACTTCGTTAAATCGAGGTTCCACTGTGAACTAATGCGTTTGAAAAGTCTACAAAAGAAGAGATAAAGCAGCCGACAGTGCAGTAGAGATACTGCTTAGCCTATTTCTATTGCCCATTTCCTGTAGCTAGCTCAGTTGCCCATTTCCTGTAGCTAGCTCAGTTGCCCATTCCCTGTAGCTAGCTCAGTTCCGGTTTTCCTCCATGCGGGTGCATTTCGCCCGTATCCCTGTGGTTTTGCTCACTGGCTATTATTTTGCGAGGAGGGAGGAACTGTCGTTGTCTTGCCGATGACTACAACACATTTACCCCATCCTAGCGATCATGATAACAACATTTTCCGCTCAAGGTGTAAGAAAAAGCATCTAAGTTTCTAAATAGGATTCGAACCTTAAAACCATCAGAGTTCGTAGTCGAATGCTCTACAAGGTGAGCAAGAGAGAACACGTGGGTAAACCAGAAATTGCAAGGATTCTGTAACAGTTTGCATAATACTGGAATCAGCGACGTTGAATTTGACAAGCATAGGTACAAGATTTCCACAGACATAATCCAATCCAAAGAAAAAAAAACCCCGGAAAGTCGCCTTTCAGATGCTCTATTCATTTTTTAATTGTTTCCGTACCGTTACTTACTTGGCCTATGTGTTTCATCATGTGCGATATGATGTCAAAAAGTGATCGGTCTACAAGAGACGACTGTGTTGTATAGTCTTCAGGGTACGTAGGCCCATCCTGAAAGCTCAATAATGTTTTCTAGTTCCTTGATCAAAAAGACGGCAGATATTACTCAAGTCCAAAAACTCGTCATAAAAAGCAGTTTCACTTCATTCTCATTTTCATATCATCATTGTAATTTAAACGGAAAAAAGTGAAACGATGACGACAAATGCTAAAGCTGTGAGATTTCAGTTTTAAATACGAAATAACTGGCCTTTGAATTTCAGAATAGAGCAGCGATGACAATTTGATAGTCATTTGGTGGCCTTCATGTTATTTACGGCTAACTGGAGGGGTCACAAACACTGAGATAATTGGCTTTCTTTAAGTTACTTGGTAACATGTTTGAGTCTAATTTTTTTTCAGTTGTTTCTCCTTATTGAGCGAAGACAATTACGTGACTTTTCTATTGTTTCTCCCTGTATCATTGACATAATGATTGGACTCTTTGTATTAATTAATTATTAAATACAGACCTAGACTGCCCTGGCTAACTTAAATATGGATACTTTCACCATCTGTACCTTGGTTCTCTGAGGAAGATTTTGCGGGTAAAAGCAATGCCTTAAATCTACCAAACCTTACAAAAACACATCCTGGTTGAAACAGCAATCCAAAGACTGTTACAAGCCAAAATAGTTTCAACAAATCTTTAACCAGACTATCGACTTCCTGTCAAGGAAAGGTTTTAAATGTTCGGTGTTGTTCACTTCTAGGAATGATTTTTTCCTCCGTTATCTTCGTTATTCAAACTAAGAAAATGTCGAAGAGTATGTACTACGGGTAAAGGCGACGAATACTGTCCAATTCTAAGTAGAACAAAGTTATTCAGAGAAGTGATCATAAAACTTAAGCGAGTAAACAATGAAACGGAGTGGCTCTTGCTTGGTTCAATTAACGATCGCTATTGCAGAATAATTTAATGTTCTCTAACAGAGGGTACACTTACCAGCTGCCAGTAGTTAACTGACTGTTCCAAGTTGGTCGGAAATTGATGGATGATCGAAAAGAGGTTACCTTTAGAACAGGTTGAGGACAAAATGGCGTAATAGAAATAGGCTTCCGCGGTGGTTTATCAGCGACAAAAGGTCATGTGCTCAATGTTCGCCAAAGCGCGACTGAAATAATATATGCAGTTGATGTCACTGATGGGAAAGACACGAAGTAAAACGCTGGTGGTCTATCTTTCCTGTCGTCTTCATCAGCAAACTAAATCCATGTGTTCTTCGTAGCTAATATTCTCGATAACTAATGTTTCTCAGCGGTTTTCAGAAACTAATATCAGTTCGTGTGACTTCCCAATTCAACCGTGACATGATTTGGTAATAATTTACATACTTCCAAAATAGTTGCATCACATTACATTTAACGCGCTTTAAAATTACTTATTAAGCAAAGGTCAACAAAAGAAATTTCCTGGTTCAGTTGTCAGACCTAGAGAATTAATTCTGAATTCAAAGCTTTTATTGTTATGGTTACCTCGAGAAGGCCAGCACTGCAGACAAGAGGTAATCAAAAGTAGTGGGAGAAGTAAGAAGTTGAATGTCAATATTTCATGAATAAGTTTCACCATTTTTGTTTTGATAAAGACCCAAGGCTTGAGAAAACATTTTTCTTCGCAAAATCCACAAATGTCTAATAATAATATGGTATGAAAAAGGACGTTGTGTTCACGATGCACTTTGTCGCAGGGGGTCCGGATAAATGATCAGCGGCTAATATCAAATGATATAAATACCATTGACATCAGTAGAGGCTATAAAACCTCAATCACTGATTAACATAACTCATCTATAGATTCTTGCCGGTTACAAACTTCTCTGAACTACTTGACTAGAAGCTAGGATTACTATCACAATAAAACTCTCTAATAGAAACATACTTTATACCGACTGGACCCCAAAGCAAGCCGTCTTGCTACAGTTGAGGGGTGTCATTCCACTTCCCCTTTCAGCCGCAATATCATGGAATGCAGTTCAAATGATTTTTTCTAAGTGTTTCCTTTGCGTGGTTTCTTCTAACTTAATCTTGAAGTGACGTAGTTTTGTTATCTGATCTGTTTATCAAATAATTTTTCCTCGGTTGCCAAGGTTCTTGAAATTGTCGTAATTCATCCTATTAAAATGGTGACCTCTGCTACAACTTTGTGTTATTTTTCTTTTTATTTAATATTTTTGTCTTTTTGTTTCAAATTGTTTTTCTTCTTTTTTTCTTTTGGGCGTGTGAAAGGATTAACCAATTTCAGTACATCCTGAGATCGACTAAGGGCGGTCTCCCGCGAGAAGCGCGGTTATTTTTAATTGGCCTCGAGAGACTCGCGCAAGCGATGTGCGCCAAAGAATCGCAACAGAGTAAGTTCAGCCATAGATTTTAGAAAACGTCATAAAAAAGCTTTGGACATTCTCGGCAAAAATGGCTGTTTCATAAGTTACTGTTATTGTAAGGTTGGTCAAAAGTATCTAATGAAGGAAAAATTACTATTTTAGCAAAGGACACAGAGGTGTCACAGAATATCTGAAAACCGGAAGCTGTAAGTGAATGGTATGTCTGACGTTATATCCTTTCGCAGCACTTAAAAAGGAACTAAATATGTCACGATAGGTGAGCTTTGAAATTTCTTTAGTCTTCCTTTTCCGCAATCCGTCACAATCCTCTTAATCCACAGTCATCCTTATTCCTTCTTGCTATATCATTGTCCTCTTTGTCTTTTTCTGCATTTCAGAACTAATAACTATCACTTTTTTATTGGTGGAAAGTAGCTATATAGTTTGATGACCCAAGATTTACCAGTAGTGACCTAGATCATTACAGCAAACTCATGTGTAAGTACTCTGTTCATGTTGTCCTTCAGCAGCAGAATTAAAAATATAAAACTGTTCTAATGAGGCCTTAAGCTGCTGTTTAAAAAGTAAAATCTAAAATCCAAGCTTTTGCCGATCAACGGCATCATCAGGGATGAGAAAATATTCCGGGCGCGCTATATATATGCAAAGAAAGTGTAGGGTGAAATGTGTAAAAGATGTGACTTATGTCTGATAGCTATAGAAATAAACTGTGAATGGAACACAAGGCTCTTATGATGGACTGCCTCTAGACAAAAGACCTCTAAAAGCGCTAATATGTGTAAGTGCTCAAGCAACCCAATAGTTAAATGCGTGACTTGTTAATCGTCTAAAGGTATCGAGTAAAATTGGCTTCGAGAGAAAATACAATGCTCTTAGCTCCACTGAGGAATGGTTAATTTAGTTTTCCTTCCTCTATTTAGTTATCTGTGGAAATATCTAAGAACACGTTTGCCCAAACAGCCATTCAAACAGCAAGAATTGAAGTTTCGCTATCTCCGCTGTGTGTATTTTCCGTCTGCTCAAAGAATAGAACTGATGTATTTCAGGGGCTTTTTTTTGGCGAATAGGAGGTATTTTTCACTTTTCGTTGGACCTATTGTTGTGAAGTATTTTTTCGTCTCAGGATCTGTGCATAATAGTTTCTTAGTGTTTGATTTATCCTTATATAGCCTGAGTCTATAGTCCAAGGTTTTTCCCGGCTCAGGTCACATAAAAGGTTTCCAAATTTAAGATGTATTGGTTATTTCAGTGAAGTAATTGCATATGAATGTTAGTGAGATAGACTCGGCTGTGGGGACTAACCTTCAAACACTTGGTAAACCATACAAAATATTCTTGCAGAGATAGAGTTTGAACTCCATGAAAGTTCCAGCTTGTTATTGGACCTTTCTTTTTCACGTGTTTATCATTAGCGATTCGTGTAGGTCTGTTTGTATTCGCTTTCTCGAGTTAAGTGATGCAAATATGCCGAGTAACAAAGGTCAATGGGGTATCGATGGAAACCTTCAACCTGTTCACTATTCATCTATTTAGTGGTTTTGTGGTATCGGTGGTATCAGTGGCATCAGTGGCATTTGCTTTAGTAGTGAGGCCTGAAAAATGAACTCAAGAATTTTGCTATGGTATAGAGGCTTTATATCATGGCTCAGACCCTTAGTGCCTACAGTTTAGCTTAGCTGTGCTCAACCAATCTCCCGATGGTGTAGCACCATTTAATGTCTAGAAGCCGAAATATTGTAGAAGTAAAAGCCAATTGAAGGAAATGTCTACTTTCCAAGCAAGCTGTAAACGTGCAAATGGCTTTTCAACCTGCACCTGTAACTTACACATGTACGTGAGAGCATGCGTATTATTAGAATTCTCAGTAATGCTTTAAAAGGCCGGATGCTAGTTCCAGCTTTGCGCCTCAATATTATGGTTTTTACGGTGGCGAATTGCGATAAAAATACAACAAGTAATTCGAAGTGGGAAGTTTTCTCTTCAATTCACCACCTCACTCAGCTTTACTTTTTTAACAGATTTTGATGTATTTCCGGCTACCCCTACATTTTGGTTTACACGTTTAGGGTGTTGGTAACCTTGAGTAGAAGTGACAAAATTGCTCCTCAAAACTAAGACGATTAGTTCAAACGAAACATAATCGTTGTATTTTACGTTTACCTAGGACTTCGGCCTTAAAAAGCAATCACTTCAGAGACATAACAGTTTCTGTATGTTACTTAGTTATTATCATAACTGAGAGTTTCATTAGATTACCAGCACATGTACCTTCACCAATAATACTTTTCTCATGATGCAAACATCACCATGAACACATTTAACCTATTTCCGCATTTAATCTTTGACTAATTGGAAGCGTACTCCAAAACGCATGAGAGTAAATCAAGCGTCATATCTCCGCAGAAATAAAAGTGAACGGACGCTGTCGGCCATAAGAAGCCCTTTGTGAGAAACAACATTCCTGATTTGGCCAATCTTTACTGACTTTTACCCTGCAGATGATCATTTTATAACAGACTACGGCACAATACGAAAGGCTTCGTTTCGTTTTTATTTAGAATTTCAAATTATTCAAATCGGTCGACACAGTTAGACCGCGAGATCATAAATGTCATGTTCCGTTTGATAATAGATCGGGTAAATCAGCAATGCTATTGATGATAAAATCCGGTTTACTCTCTGCAATAAACTCTCTACTCTGTGTCCCAGTTAACACTGAGATCGTCCAACAGCCAGCGTTCTTTCCTTCTTCAACATCTACCTTAGTGTCCCCAACTTTGACAACGGATCGTGGATCTTTTACGTTACAAAATTTCATAGCAGAATGGATCATTGTAGGATGAGGCCTTCCATGCCCCGCTTTCTCCGCACTACAAACAAAATCGACCAGGCTGGACCAGTTCAAGGTATGTGTGATAGTTTCAACGACACTATGCGGGAAGCCGCTGCCAACGGCAATCTTGGCCCCTGTGGATTTCAACTTCTGAAAAACTTCAGTCGTTCCTGCGATTTCGTTTTTAATCAATGACAAATTCTGATTCAGAAAGAATTTGAAATCTTCAAATAAACCATCAACGCTGATGTTAGATGAACTGTTGTTTGACCCGTTTAACTCGTGCAGTTCGTTCAAGATACTCTGAATTGCGTCTCTCTTCTCCATTCCACGGTATTTGTTGACTAAGCTTACGTCGATTTTGTAACCATTTTTGTGGAAAGCTTCTTTCATTGTAATAGCCACAAGTGGTACACCCTCAATCGAGTCATCTACAGTTGTGCCTGCGAGATCAAACACGAACAATTTCATGTTTGCCAGTAGGTTCGCTGTTTTAATGCATTCGTCCGCCATTTTTGCCAAGTCATAACTGAGCCAGTGGTAAGCGGCTGGTATGTACAGCGGAAATCAAAGATGGCGGAAAGCTTGAGGGTAAGAAACTACAAAAAACAAACTTGCCATTATTTGTTCTAGAGCAAAGTTTGGCTGACAGTTTTAATATATGTTTGCTCTTTAGATATTGGTACTTCATGGATACAGGTAAATAAGCAAAATGACGATGCAGCCAGAGATTTGGAGAGGTTTGAAGTTTATAGCGAAGGTAGAGGTTCAGCTGCCTTTGCAGAAGTGATAAGTGTTGTGAACGCTTTTTAGTTTCGCTAAAGTTACATTTTCCGTTAATTTGTAGCGCAGAAGTATGAAAATGTAATCAGAAGGGTATATCAATGAGCTACAATTGTACCTCTATAAGCCCTTCCCCCTCCCGGCCAAATGATCGATGGAGGCTCCATTCTCTGCTAACTCTAGGTGCGTAGTCAACGAGGTTAGAATTAGGAAACTCGTCATCATTTTTATTTATCCCTTTTTCTATTTTTTCTATATATGTTTTTTTAAGACAGAGTGCCAAGACATGTAAAGAGAAGCTTGGTGCCTTCAGGAAGAACCTTAAGAAACTTCCACTTGAATTTGGTAGGAAATGTTAGCTTGAGGATGTTGTTTTCATAGTCCATCAATTGCATATCAATTATTTAAATTTAAGGTATTTATTTTTAATTTTTTTTGTCATTTTATCTTCTTGTTCTTACAACAGTGTATATAACTGCACCAAATAAAATCCCAGTTGAAAACAGTAGTGATGTTGCTTCTCCAAAGGAAGGTATTTATATGCATTTGGTTATACATGAAGGGTAGCTAACAATATTAATAAGCCACTTAGTGGCTGCTGGTTGGCTGGCCTTGTCTCGAATTCATTGATCAGTTGATTGACTGGCACGTTTTGTTTTTTGATCAACTATTTGATGATTTGCAGATTGATTTATTTCTTGTGGAATTTGCTATGTAGTAGTAGAAACCAATTCCCTGCCCAGCCCCTGTCCATGTGGCTATCCACTTGAGTGTGACCTCTGTGCAGATAATGCAAATAAAATGTGTTGGCTAGAGTTGAAAGTAATTGCGAGTATGTTCTTATGTCAGCCTTATTTTGAAATCCTCAGGTAAATTGGCCTTTTGTCAAATGTCTCATAGTTCTTTTGTTAACTTGTCTTAAATTTATTGCTGTTGTATTGGTTACAGTAATTTATCAGCTCAAGTTTTTGTTCTTTTAATTAGATGAATATGGTTGGTGGTTTTCAGCTGAAGATAACACATATGACCCTCTTAGTCCATCTGATGTCTCTAAAGGTTATGATGAATCAATTGAACTTGTCAAGGCCACCTTTACAAATCAGGTAATTAATCATGATGCCAAACACTATACAGTAGTAGGAAATGCAATCTCATTGTTCCCCTCTCCTCCCTGTGTCTAATATGTTCTTCTCACATTTGGTTGTTTGGGTGAGAAAGAGATCCCTGGAGACAAGGTTGATTTTTCTCATGAATTTCTCTTGGAAATGAAAAAATTTCATTTACTAATTGTAATTACCTTTCTATATTTTATAATAACTGAGAAGTGTGGATGTCTATTTATTAGTTTTTGTTGAAAGTTTTCCTTCTAAGTATCTTATAAAATATGTACAGTAACCAGCGATATTTCTTTAGTATGCAGCAACAAAGTTAGTATTGTTTGTTTTGCCCTTTCCTTACCTGTTAAATTCTCATGTTATCATTTTTTTTGACATTTAGTATTTATGTTATTTTTCAGGGGCCATTTGATGGTATGTAATCTCATTTTTGAGGAGCACTTTTTTATTGAAGAAGAGAGAAAAGTACTTTTTAATTATCATGATTAATAATTTCAATCACTTAACTACCATGGTCAAGCCTTTTGTTGTGCATGTAGTTCAAATGGTATAGATACAAAATAAATTGTTACCCAGTGAATAATTATTCATTAAACTATGCAATTGCTATTATGAGAAGCAAACAGCAAAGTAGGGTGATATGTTTGTGAAATATCCTTGAATCTTTTTCTCCATAGACCAAATATGCTTGTTGTCAGGATAGATTATTACCATTTTAATAACAGTGATAAAACTCTGTCCAACTGATAAATGCTTTTGGTTTTAACAAAGCATCTCATGTTTGATGGTTTTAACTGGTATAAGGGAATTGTAGCAGTTTATTCAGAGGGTAGTGCAGGGGTTTAAAAACAAGCCAGTGACTGCCGAAATTCTACCGGCTATTTGATAACATGTCTAAGTTACCTACTTTTTCTAGAGTTTGACACCTACACTGTACTTCAAAAAATTTAGAAACCCTAGTAGTGTTAATATTCCATCAAAATTATTTAGGGGCAGTCATCACTATTCAACAACCATTTGTAGAACTTTTTCTAATCACATATGATAAAGTGGAGAATATTACACAAGCTGGGACTTCTTAAAAGATATTATTTAGCTGCTTATACATGTATGTGATGTTTATCAAATAGGTGTTCTTGGGTTTAGCCAAGGGGCATGTTTCCTTTCGATTCTCTGTGCATTAAGAGAACAAGGTATGTCTGTTTTCTTGACTGTACAAAGTAGATGTAACCCTCTCAGCTATCATGAATTTGTTATTAATATATCATGAAGTTATTATTAACTGCTGTGATCACTGCTCAATCAAGAAAAGGTCCATGTTGTCTACCCTGGGTAATGTTAATTCATCCACTCGTTTATTTCTTCTCTTCTTGGATAGTGTCTGAAATAGGCTGGGACCTACAGTGTAATCGATTTTGTCGTTCATTGTGTTTTAGGTTATTTAAGTTTTAAATTTGCCATTCTTGTGGCTGCATTCAAGTCAAGATCTTCAGGACACAGCATATACTACACAGAACCCATCACATGCCCCACCCTGCATGTGTTTGGTGATACAGACAGAGTCATACCTAAGGGTATGTATTCAGCTGGTGGTTACTTTAAAGTGGCACTAAAATTTATTTCCTTTACTTGTACATTTGTACAGGTGTCTTCCCTGCATTTGTCTTAAAGTGTCATATTTGTTTAGAACCATGAATCTGTATCATGCTTATGGCAGCAATACTTCACTGAACCCCACATCTAAGTTTGGTTGTACTGAAATCAGCCTACAAAACAGTTTGAATTTAAGCTATAAATTACCTCTACCTTCAGTCCTCCATCTATCCCTGCATAGCCCTTCTTTAGTTTTGTGACACTGAGCTAGAGTAAGAAACTAATAGAAACAACATTTCTAAATATAGAAATATTTTGATGAATAGGTAGGCAAATAATCAAGATAATTAGCTTTTTTCTACCCCACTACTTACTAGTCTGGACCAAAAATACACCAGCCCTCTACCTCTCTGTCATTTAAACCTAAATGTAAATAAATTACCTTCCTACATTCTTGGCATGTCCCTACACAGTCATTTCTGAAAGGGATTCCAGTATTCTTTACACTTAAGCCATTGAAAGATAGGGCAACTGATTGGTGTCTTATTTTAAATCAATGAAATAGAAAACAGTGAAGATCTTCTGAAGCATTTTTCTAACCATACCACTCTTAACCACCCTGGAGGTTAGTGTATGTCTATATCTCAATTCCTTTTGACCTGATATGATGACCTAGTGGTTTTCACTCTTTAGATATATTTCCACCTTGTAAATGGCTCGCTTTTATTTCCTTTTGTATGAAAAGTTGTTATGTGGCCAAATTTCAGTCACTGATAGGCATGTCTATTGGGGTTAATTCGGTTTGGTGTCCAATTCTTTCCAAGTCAAATCATTATTTCACATAACAAAGAATCCTGCAGGCAGGCCTTCATTGGCAGTGCTGCAGATCAAACTGGGGACTTTTTCTCACCCCTGGAGGGGTGAGAACAAAGAAGTTGTGTTAAGATGATATTGCCAATGTTTTTGGATGCTATATATGATCAGACAAATTAGGGATCACACAGGAAAAGGAGAAAGGGAGGAGGCATGGCAATGAAAACAATTTACAGTAGAATAATTTGGCCATATTTGGAAATCAGCTCCGCTTCCGGCTGTGGATTCGAACCCGGAAAATTTTCCGTTGGAATTTGAACAAATTTGGATGAGATGACTTAATCTGATAAGTACATTCAAAGCGACCGCAGTGCAGTTTAAATGGTATTAGTGACGAACTGATCTTGTTACTTAATTTAGGAAGTCTGCAAGAATTCATGCTTCCTTGTTGAAACAAGGAAATTTTCTGACTTTTTTGCGGTTTAACTGCAAAGCTTGATTGGTAACTTGTTATCCTATCCACATGTCAAAAAAAAATATTTCGTATACAGTGTAACGTATTGTCGGCTATTGAAACAATAGAATCTAGTCGATAGTATTCACAGTTATGATCTATCTTTTGAAGGTCGCGTGGTTTTAGAAATCAGCGTCATAACGTGCAAATATCTAAAACATTTTTTCTACTTTTTTCTAGGCCATTTCGTCCCAACGCAAGCTCCTCAAAAGAAGGTCTACATAGAGTTTCTAGAGCAGTTCATGAAGAAGACTTAACAAATGTTACATTCTTACCGTAAAATGTGGCCACACCGGGTACCGTCATGTGCTTTCCTCGAACAATTTTTGTGTTCTGCAGCATAGATAAGAAAGGGAAAATTTTGGAATATTTAGTCTGCATAGCTAATGTTTGTCATGATCGGACGCGTTCCCGGAAAATTTTGGTTAAGACTTCCAGGTCAATTCCTGGGGAGTGAGAGGTCAATGTATTCTTTATTGTGGTTTGACCTATTATTTCAAATTCTTTGTTTGTTTAAAGCTCCTGTCAAAGATATTTTAGCTATGCGCGGCGAAGTTGTAAAGGATCAGTTCAAAAATAAAAAAGTTATGATTTTCAGTAATACTTTATTGAGCCTTGACCAAGCGAAAGTAAACGGAGAATTGTTCCTCACAAAAAGAGGGAGAGAAAACACGTCATAAAAGATGTTGATAAACAATAAGTTACTCATGTTATGGACAGTTTATGTTTGTCACATAATAACAATGATAATATAATGGAAATAAAATTTCTCAAACTACATAAAGGGGTTTCAACAACTTTTTCCATAAGCGGCTGGCGATCGGTATAAAAGGCGGTTGTGTAGGGGAAGGTGCTGTATGAATTCGGCGGTAAGAAATCCTATAGGCGGCGATGGACCGTCGGTAACTGGCTAATACTGAAACTCCTTCAATATGTAATGGAACCGTCAACTGTGTGGGTCCTTTTTTGAAGAGCTCAAAAAGTGCAAACCTAGTCGAAGACTTGTAGCATTTTCTTCTCTGTAAAGGTGAGGTTGTCCCTCTCCATTCATTACAGTTAGAAGCGGAAAAGAAATTATAGCCTCGCCTCCGTTTCACCCTAGACGGACGGAGGGTATAGCTACACGTAGGCGACTTAAATAGTATTGAATTGACTTTTTAAGCGTCTTAAATTTCGATGTGGGTGGAGTCTAAAACTCAAGCATTAGTGCATTTTTTTCGGTTTTCAATGTTCTTTAATGGTACATTTGTCTCACAGGTTTTCTGTGGTTGTCTTCAAACGGCAAAAGAAAATAAAATTTTAAATGCTGTAATCCTTCGGCGGGAGGGGATTGAGATCTGCAGGCGAGGAGGTTGGCCAAGTATAGGTCAGTGTAGCTTATATGAAGAGGTCATTGGACGGAAGTCCAATTTCCCTGTCAGCGGAATTCTTCATAAACGTAGTAGATCTCGTGTTCTTTCATTTTTCTTTCAAACTTGTGAAATTTGTTGAAATAATTACTGGAAAATTACGACAACTCTCGTTCTCCTATGGAATATTTAAAGAGCCCAGGTATCCGTGTTCCAGGAGGTGGAGATAAGGTTTTCAAAGATGAATGTGTGTACTGCTTCGACTCGCCGGTATGTATTGCAAATATGTAGATGTGGTCCTAAAAAAAATGCACGTAGGGTTTATTGAAGTGTGTTTTAATTCAAAAACTCTTCTTTGCAGTGTTTAATAACCAAGAAAAACTTTCAGACGTACAAATTACGTCGTTTTTCCCTTCTTCACATGTATCATGATTAAGCCTCGTTTTACACCAATTTCTATCTTTTTTTTAATTTTCCTGTCGTTTGTTCTATGAGAAAGAGTGAAATTATATATGAAATTGTATTGAGTATACCTTTTTAGCCTTAAAACAGGAAATAGTATGGGGCTGTGCGGAAATTTTACCCCTCTTAGTTTTTTAATTTGCTGGTGGTAATTGCTGTAACATTGTTATCAATTATCGAAGCTGACGAGAGCTCTAAAAGTGTCACCATTCCATTTGAACAAAATTAGAAAGTTGACCTTCCAATATTGTCCATCCTCTCTGTGCGTGAATGTCCCTTCGGTTGAAAATACAACATTTTTTTTCTAAACGGATCATTATGTTACTCTTGGCAAAAATGCAGCATGCAAATGATTGCTCCACAATTAAAAAAATAAGTCCCGTTTTGATGGCAACAAGTTTGAAATTTGACACCCATTGATTATCAGATCATGTTCCAGTTATTTCTAATTTGCTTTTAGTTCAGCATGTGAGCTCAACCTATTCTATTAAAATAAAAATTTCTGTGCTGCTCACTTAAATTAACTCTTTAACTCCTGAGATCTGATTGTTAATTCTCCCCTCTAGCTGCTACACATTTCTATGTAACTTAGTAATGAGAATTTGCAGTTAGATCAAGACAACAACCTCTACCTGATAAGTTTGAGTATTCAAATTATCTCTTTGCTGGATAAGGTATGGATATTATAGGGAAAAGTTACATGTTCATTACTTCTGGAAGTTAAAAGGTCAAGCTACAAGGTTTAGACAAAAAAAAAATTAGACTTGAAAGTCTTTTAGGTTACTCTCCATCTCTTTTTCTCTATCCAATTCTTTCAGTGCAATTGAACATAACTTCCAGTGGTAAAGAAAGAGATTTGAAAAATATTGTGGTGAATCAAAATAATGTTTGAGCTTTAAGAAGTCACACTTATTGAGTAAAATGTTTACTTATCTTATCTTGTGAATTTTTATTTTATAGGAAAGTGATGGAGGACTCTATGTTTGTCTTTCTACATTTCTTGGTTTTTGTGAGGAACATGTTCATCTTCATATCAGTAAGACCTCTCACAAGGTTTTCTTGCATTTGAAGAAAGTTAAGAAGGTAACTATATTTCATAGCATGAATAATGATTAATAAATAAGTCAGTTTGAAATCAGAGTATTAAATGAAATCTTATTCAGGCAATATTAGACACCCACAAGATGGCTTTCTTGTTCAGTTTCCTTGTTGAATTGGAATTTGGAAGGTTTTTTTGTGTAACGAGGAAAACCAGAAAACTCAGAGAAGACCCTTTTAGCATTACTGCTTTAATTAATTGAGAAATAGCTATTTTGATGAATGAATTCCATTGGAAAATGGTTAATCATTTATATATTTTGAAAACAAAGTCACATTGGTAAAGGCATATTGGGAAGATCGGTTTGAATGGTGATTGCAACAAACAAGTTTGCTTGTCATTGGTTAAGCTGTGTAGTATTTTAGTGCTACTACATTGTGGTCTGTTCTTTAAAACAATAAACTGCCAACAATAGAAAAACAAAAGGACTACCTCATACATACTAATGAGGCCGATGTCTCAAGGTCCTGCACACACTTGCAATATTTTGATATGTGTAATTTTTATTATTCGTAATTGCATGCAATTTTTGGTGCGTTAAATGCGGGTTTTTCGGTTAGCGTATACATGAGTGGTACTGTAGTACATCTCTTTTAAGATGTATCTGAGTACCCACAGCATTTTTATCAAAGAGATATTTTCAAAAAGACTGAAGGATTTTTTTTTAATCATTGGGTAAACTTTAGACATTTCATGACTGTTCTGCAGATCAGCTCTTTTTTTGGGAACAGTTTCAATGTTTTACAATGATGATATTTGTGTTCCTCTGTCTGGACCTCATTATGAAAATCATAATCTCCAACAGGGGATAGGAAGACAAAACAAAGTAAAAAATTAAAAGCAACATTAAAACTTTTTAGCTTCACTGTATCGCACCTGCATTATGACATATGCAGATGCAATGTATATTAGCATCATGACAATGAGGACACTGTAAAATGCAATGTACCAATTTGTTATTTAAAAAAACTGATCACAGGAACTCCTGGTTTGACTCACTAGGAAAGTCACAAAAATGTACCAGAAACATCCATGTATAAGCCGCACTTTTTTTCACAAAATTGAAGCCAAAAATCAAGGGTGTGGCTTATCCATGGATACATCTGTGTTTGGAGTTCTCAAAAACCTAATTAATATTCATAAAACTTCTTAAAATGCCAAGAAATAGACACAAACAGAAAAGAAACTGAGAGCATGTTGCTGTAGTTCATTGACTTTTTCATTGAGTGGTGGTTCTTGATGAAGGTGACTCCAATTCTGATCCATTTGCTGGCATAGATGAGGACGAGGATGTGGACTCGCTTTATGCTGATAGTTTCAAACAGCAACAAGCAGAAATTGACTCAGAAAGCTATGAGAATCTCTTTGGAGATCACAATAGCGAGGACTTTTATGGCTTTTAACACTAAAGACTGACTTTATCAGATGTTCACATGAAGAACAGTAGCATCTTTTATAAATTACCTGAAGTATTGTCATATTGATTAATGAAATAGAAACTGAAATGATTGCATCAGTGCGCATGCTTTCTGTTTATGCCCAGACGATGACCAGGCCCTGGCCCAGAACCCTCCCAACATTTGAAGCTTGGCTACTAAGCACTTGTTTGTTTGTTTTGTTTTTTTTTTTTCATTTCTGAAGGAATTTAAACTTTATAGCATGTTTCAAAGTAATAATCTTGAAAAATCGGATCAAAACATCATTTTAAGTGAAAGATGGTGTAAATTCCAGTGAAAAAGAAGGTACGACAAATGAAATTTCACTTTCTTTAGACTTGATAAATGTGAAAGATAGCCACAACTTCTATGTCAGTGTTTCGAAACCTTGATTGTTTGTAGCATTACAACTCTACTGAAACTTCAAACTGTATTGTTTTTATTTTTTTCCAAATTCTGCACTTCCAAATTGGGGTGTAGCTTATCTACGGATGCAGCTTATAAATGGACATTTACGGTACTCCACATTGTTGTTTCAGTGTGCATAAATTTAGCAGTCAAAAAAAGGGTAATTTTTTAAGGAAGAATTCCTGGTAATTGTTTATGATCATTCATTATATGGTTACTATTTGTCTGTTTGTTTCCTCCAAAAGGTTCAGATTGAAACAGATAGCTCTACAGATACTCCACCAAAGAAAAAACCTACAAGACTAGCAATTGGTGAGTTGCATTTTAAATTTCCTAACTTTTTAACATCATTATGTGGTATTTGCTGCACCGCATCAGATTAATTCCATTTTATAATATTTTCACACTGGTCCAGTATCAAACTTATAAGTTTAACATGTAAATTCAAGAAAAACTTCATGTCATTGATAATACCCCACCAATAAAGGGGCCTTTATTTATGTCAGCCCAACTGAAGATTTAATTGGTACATGATGTTACTTGAAAGTTAGAAACTCCTTGTTTTCCCTGTGGTAGGCGTTGAAGGAGGATTTGATGTGGAAAAGACAAAGGTACTTGATACAAAATGCATGGACATAACAGGAAAGAAATTGTGTGCACTGTAAGTACCTTATAAATGCTTAGAAAACTTTTCTAAGGATTTATAGGGGAAAATGGGAGGTACTCTCAATGTGGGCAGTTTCTGTCCTGTCATATACATGTATTATGTAACATTGAGAGCATGATGGCCAAAAGTACTTGTACATTTCCAAACAATAACATGCTCTTAACTATACCTCCAAACAAAACAAAATAAACGGAGGAATTGGAGCAAAGTAAAAATTGAAGCAGTTGCTAAAAGAAAATTATAAATGATAAGTTACTACAATTATACTCAAAGACATTGACAAATGCAAATACAAAATAACAGACGACAAAGACACTCTGAGAAATAACATAACAGAATATTGATGAAAGTGATGCATATGACAACAAGAGAACTTAACAAAAATGCAACAGAAAGGAAAATTTGGATTTATAATGAACAACAACAATATAATTTTTGGCAGCAACAGAGAGTGATATCAAGGAATTTTTCCACAGTGTACTTCTGGCATTGTGCATGGACCATGCAGCAGTTTATAAATTTATCCTTTGTTAGAGAGAATGATTCTGAAAGCTTGAGGTTTCAGTTTTCTGTTTGTTAATTTTGCCACACACATATACACTTACAAGAAAATGAGATATTCAAGTTGTTTGACTTAGAGAGGTATGTATTTTTTCTATTGCATTATTTTAACAATGATGAACATTTAATTAAATTTTTTTTACTCGTGATAAAGAAACTTTCAGGTCTGGATTTCTGTAATCTATTGCCAAGTGACAAAAAGATGTATTAACTTAAAGGGAAATATCAATATCTTTTGTTACCAATAAATGTTTATTTATTTATACAGGTGGAATATGATGAGTTCAATTCAGTCTCAGTGTTGGGGACTGGGGGAGATCCTCTTGTCATTCCTCTTCCAAATGTTGAGATTCCACTCCAGGTACTATGCTTAAATTTACTAGGTATAGTGGAAATTACTGATTGATTCATCTGACATTTCTTGAATAAAGAGGAAAAGAGGCAAGGCCAAGAATGGAAATCATTTATTTATGAAACTAATTTCTAGTTCTTGATTATAATCATGATCATGTGTAGTAGTACAATGCAATGATTTCCATTATCTGTAAGTATCATTATTAATTAAAGTTACAACATAGATCCAAACAGTATCATGTTGTACATCTAGCTGCTATGATGTTAAGCCTAATTTACTCCTGAGATCTGATTGTTAATTCTCCTCTGTGGCTGCTACACATTTCCTTGTGAACTAGCTACAAGAATTTGATGTTAGATCAAGATAATAACCTCTACCTCTGATAAGTTTGAGTATTCTCATTATCTGTTTGCTGGATAATGTACTGATAATTTATTATATAAAGAAGTTACATGTAAATCAATTGAGGGAGTTATAGGTTTAATTCAGTTTGCTCTTTTTTGATACACAAGTCATCTAGACCTCTTTTAAAATTAGTTTCCTTAGGATCAAACTAAAGTCAAGATTTTATTTATTATTTGAAGCACTTGTTAGAAAAAAAACACAATATCACTCATTAATTTTCTTTATTATTATTATTTGCATAGCTTCAGTTAGCCATAGCAGGAGTTCTTACTGCAGACTCATCAGCATATAGAGACCAAGTTGCCTCTTGGGATGGAGAAAAAAGATTTAAATCCAAGTAAGTAGTAAACCTGAACTTTAGTAAACTACTTTTAAAAATTATAAAATTTTTATAATTTTTTTGCACACTTTCTGTGTAGATGCATTTTCAAGGAAGACTAGTTAAATTTTTCTTGCCATTGATTCGTACAGTTTTATAGTTTTGTACTAAACATATGCACTTTATTTTTTAAGGTATGCTGATAATCTCTTACAACTGGACAATGGTGTCAAAGTTCCACCAAGGTTAGTTTTGGTAATAAGTGCTCTCTTTCTGAAGTTCAACAATGGAGATGCAGTGGCTTAATGTTGAGTGCATTGGACTTTGGGTTGAGAGGTCCACATTTGAGACCTATAACCCGGTCAGTGTGTTGTGTTCTGGACCAAAAACCTTCCCCTCACAGTGCCTCTGCCCACCCAAGAATATAGGTGGGCACTGGCAAATTTTTAGGGAAGCCTGGTGAAATGCTGGGGGTTAACCCTTGCAATGGACCAGCTTCCAATCCAGGGGAAGAACAGTGATACTCCTGATTGGCTCATGCTTTGGAAACCATGATAAGCTCTGGCTGGGTGGGCCACTTTGCTCCAGTAAAGACTTTTGAAGCTCAACACAGATTACATACTGACATTTTTTATTTTGCTCTGTCATTAATTGCAATTATTGTTCCAATCCTTTCAATAATATTTTACTTTCAGAGGCTGGAAGTGTTCAAAATGTGATTTAACAGAAAATTTGTGGATGAACTTAACTGATGGTACAATTTTGTGCGGCAGGAAATATTTTGATGGTTGGTATAATTTCTACTTCGTGGAATTTTTAAATTTATACATTTGTTTGAACTATTATAGTATAAAGTATATGAAGAGTGGCATGCTTTTGGCATGAAGAGAAAAATAACAGTGACAAAAGAGATACTTGATTGAAACATTTTCAGGTTACAGTAACTGAGAGTATTTTTGTGTTAAACTTTCTGCAGTCACATATAGTAGTATTAACATCTTCACTAATTCGCTTTTTTTTCTTTCATGTTTATTGTCATTCATTAGCTTTTGTGTTCATTGAGCCATTTCCCTATTTTTTCCATGAGGTTCACTCACTCAAATGGCTGGTTACAATTGAGAATTTTGCTCTCGGCTTATAGCTAATGGTTTTGCTTTTTCTTTTGGACAACACAAGTCTGTTGGAAGGTCTCCAACTTTTAGGGTCTCTGCTTATAGCCGAGGTCAGCTTATAGGTGAAGAAATACGGTAACCCAGATGTGCATGGGTGTACTTGGTTATTGCTCAAAACTATAAACTAAAGGTGCTTGAATGAGCAAACTTTAGGAGAGGGTGATTAAAAAGTTTTAAGGTAGATTAAATTAAATTTTTTTGTATTAAACCTCTTTCTTTCCTCTCTAGGATCAGGGGGAAATAATCATGCTGTTGATTATTACAAGGAAACAAAATATCCATTAGCTGTTAAACTTGGAACCATCACTCCTGATGGAGCAGGTACAAAATTAATGGAAATGTCACATGTATGTACATGTAGTCTTTAAACCTATACTAATTGTCTCATGCATAATTATTTGGTGTACAATACATTGTTAATTATGTACTACAATCAAAGGAATTGTTTTTGATTATGATAATCTCCAAAACAAAACTTTTACAATTGATACAAAGTCAATCCAGAGTCCTCATCTCCACATCACGGAATGCGTGAGAAGGAGATATCTTAAGGCCCAGGCTTTTCTTACAATGAATGCACATCATACGTTTCATTTGTCATGAAATTGTTTTGCACAATATTTGCATGTAGTTCTAAACAATTATCAGAAATTGCTCTTCCCCAGAAGAGTACACCATTACATTCTCTGGAAAACACTAAAACTTAGACCAGTTTATACAAAGTCATGCATGTCCATGTAACATTACACTAAACCTTGTACAGTACATGTAATCTGGAGAGATGTTAAGGGGAGTGATCTTGCTTTTGTCTTGAAGATGTGTTTTCTTATGATGAGGATGACATGGTTGAGGATCCTAATCTAGCTCAGCATCTTGCTCACTTTGGAATTAACATTACTCAGATGGAAAAGGTACAGTAACTGTTTTAAAGATGCAATCCTGTTATGGTCAATCAACTCTCAAAAATGCAACCCCATCTATATACTAGCGACACATCCTGATTGCATGATTACTAGGAAGTAGAAGATTGTAATCTTGAATAACAGTAATTTATTGTTATTTTGTCCCTCTTTCCCTTAATTTGAGTTTTTCCCCCCCCCCCCTTGCCAATACTGCACTCCAGTCTGTGACTGCACAACTTTGAATAAAGAAGGGGGGAGGTATTCTTTCAAGGTGGAGTGAATTGTGAACTTCAATTCTCCTTTTTAACATTATGTTATCAGACAGACAAGACAATGGCAGAGTTGGAGATTGACATAAACATGAGGATAAGAGAGTGGGATGTTATACAGGTAACAGTTTTTGATGACTTTGATGACAACCCCTCAAAATATATTTTTCTTATTTTTTCATTTGAGACTTTATGATTCATTTCCTTTGTTGTGAGGTTCTCTGACCTCAGAGATAAAGAATAAAGTCAATGATAGTTCCATAATTCGCTGTTTACGTGTAACTGAGTTCATCTTAATGTTTTCTGATGTTATTATTTATTCAAGGAATCAGGCAAGAAATTGACTCCCTTATGTGGCCCTGGCTACACTGGACTGAAGAATTTAGGAAATAGGTAAACAGTAAAACCTGTATTTAGAGGGGGGACAGCCTGTGTTAAACCTTTAAATCCCACGAGTGACCAGGACAGAATTTTTCCTTGCAATATCAACACAAAATCAACTAAAAATGAGATGAGAATGAAGGAATATATATTGATTGGGGATTTGGGACTGATCCAATACCAAATTCTCAGAACTAAGATCATAAGAATTGTGTGGCAGACCGAAAGGAGAATTACTAATGAGATCTAGAGAGTGAAAGGGTTAGGTGGATGCAACCTAAAATCATTAATGACTGTGAAACAAACCAGCATTTAGTAGACTCCTCTATTAAGCAGGCGTGGATACACATTACTCTAGTTTTGTTGTGACCTAAAAACTGCTCAATACAAGGTTACCACCTAATACAGACCGTAGCTTGAATATGCATCTTGACTCACTTTGAACTGGTACATGTTACATTCTCCATCTGTCGCAGAATAACCATTTAACCGCTAACTATTTGTAAAGGCATGTAACTTGTACAGCTGCGATTAGATAAGTTTTTCTGTATTTGGAATCAAGAATGATTTGTTTATTTCGAGAGCCAGGAAGGAAAGTAAACTGTGTCAGTAACACAATATTAACCCACAAGAGTCGTTTTCATTTTCTTTGTTTTGACAGCACGGTCTTCTGCCGCTTTTTTCTACTTCATCGCCGTCATTGTCAAAAAAAGAAAAACTTTGGAAGGCTGATAAACGTAATTTTTTGCTTGCGCGAGATCAAGGCGGGCAATCTCGAACAACTTGCCTACTCGGGTTGCTAATCAGAACAAAAGATTCGCTTTCAATTGCCCATGGGCACTAACCGCTATAAAATTATAATAATACATAGAATTATCGTATTGGTTCGTGATAATTGACAGTTTAGAGTATAACTTTTTTCTTCTCTTTTTAGCTGTTACATGAACTCTGTCCTTCAAGTTCTTTTTACACTTCCGGAGTTTAAACAAAGGTATGTGTTAATATCGCTAACATTTGTCAGTACTTACCGAGCTGTCGATACGCTCTAGAATGTTCACTGCATGACATTTACATGTGCACCAATTGTCGCAATTATTAGAATGCTTTTCCCTATGAGTTTCTATAACCAAATCCAAAATAATGTTAACGGTCAATCAGAAAAAAAATACCTTAAGAGCCAATGAGAATTCAAAGTAAAAACAATCAAATTGCCTAAAGCGCGGGAAAACGCGGGCGACCAAGTCGTGATTGGTTTTAGTTCTTGAATCTGATTGGTAGAAAAAGTGGAACAATTTTTCTGGACCAATCACATAACGAAATAAAGCAAAACCAAAGGATTCACGGATTACTTTCGAAACTCAGTTTAAAATATTGTCCTTTTTGTGATGGCATATTTTTCGCACTTTTTTGTTCTTTCTCCAGGTATGGAGCTCAATTTGCCACCATCCTTTTCCAGGCCCCATCGGATCCTAGTGGAGACTTCAACACTCAGATGTAAGTTCATCGTTGAGCTTCTCATTAATTTTCATTCCTCGCGTAGATCTTTACCGCTCACAAATTTTAGACAAGTACTGGGCTCAATGTTTTCTTACAAATAGCTACTCTGGGAACATAAAGTGGAAAGCGTCTTCATCTTTCCCTACTCAAAGTTTTCGAAATCGAGAGGATAATATTCCTCTCTCGAAAAAAAAAACCCTCTACTTCTTTCAAAGGGAAAGTGTTTCTTTCTTTAGGGCGAAGGTTGCTCATGGAATCCTTTCTGGGAAATACGCCACAGCACCACAGGAACACCAGGAAAAAGCAGAGAAACAAACAGATCAGGTGTGTTTCAGTGTTTGATTTGCGTTTTTGACGGAGTCCCGGTCACATGTATGTGTAGTTAGGTTCCAGTAACATTTACTGCAGGTCTTCTCAAGAGTCAAAAGGTTGATCGCGAGATTTTGTTGTTAATGGCTTGCTAACGATAGAAATGGGCCCAGGTCAGGTCGTGATTTCCTTGAACTAAACGTTTTAGACTTAAATACATATCACGGTATCAGAAATTTTGGACAGCAGCTTGATTTGGGCTGGAGTCCTGTGTGATATGGAAATATTTCTACAAGCGTCTCTATCCTCGATTCTCGAAAGTTGCGAGGATCGTGAAACGAGTTCCGGTTTGACACTGTCGTCATTGCCTTGATATTATGGATTATGCTTTTGCTCATACATTTTGGATAGGCCACGGACACGATTATATTCTACTCAATAACAACGTGGACTTTCACCGCCATACAGTGAAAACTCAACATACAATTAAATCTTTGAAGCAAGATCAAGACGAATACTCTACATGTCTCTAAGTAACACACCATAATCGCAAGCATTTGCTAAGACCTTCGTTATCCTTTTACTTGTCAGGAACAAGATGGTATTGCACCGCATATGTTCAAAACTGTGATTGGGCGTGGTCACCCCGAGTTCTCCACCAACAGGCAGCAAGACGCGCAAGAGTTCTTTATGCATTTACTTTCCACTATAGACAGAGCCGAGGTACATTTTAGAGGCATTTACCCTGATTGTGGATTTTCATCGTTTGCTTCTCATCACCAACTACAACGTACATATGTATTGCATTTATACTGACCTAGTTAACCAAGGCAACTTGAGAGTGAGGTTGAGAACAAGCCCAGGAAACGAGGAAGGAAAATTCTTGCAAGTTGGTTTCTTCTTTCCATCCGAATGGTTGAGAAGGTGGAATGATTCGTTTGTCAACCAATCACAGCGCTTATTATCGCCTCTTTGTAATTGTAAGTGTGACGGTTTTAACATGATTTATATTTCTTCTTAATTTCTTTTAGCGATCCAATGCAGGGGCCATCAACCCAGCAGACTCGTTTAGATATAAGGTAAGGTGTAGTTCGGTTTCATGGATTGGTAGCATGTGTATGTGCAGGTAACTATTTCATTGTTGTTAATCAGGTGGAAGAACGGACACAGTGTATGAAATCAGGAAAAGTTCGTTATAACAGCCGAGAGGATACGTTGTTGTCATTATCAATACCTATGGAGGCTGTACTGAATAAAGGTGACAAATTTCCTTCGTATACTTTAGATTTTCTGTTTTGATGAGCTCAAGCAGCCACAACAGAGACGCCTTGGGAACTTCGCATTAAAACTTAAACATGAATATTTTGTATGTGGATCGTGCTGTTTCCGGTTTTTAACAGTGCTATACCTCCCTCCTAGGACACCAAATGTCAGTAGGGATAAGTCCTAATAGAGACGAGGAGAGTTCGTCTTCGTGGTTCTCGCTCTCATGCCGTGAAAAAATTTGTAACTTTCCCTTATTTCTTTTTTAAAAGACGGCTAGGAAATGGGCAGTATTTTAAAACACCTATACAAAATTTAAGTTTTATCTGTTGGATACTTTATTTTCACCACTTTCTGGTTTCCGTCGCTTTTCAGGTTTGTTTAAGGTCCCCAACGAAAATTTACCAGCTTAGTTTGCTTTTCCCTGCTGTTATTTTGGGTTGCTATCAGTTTAATCGCTGATCACGTGCTTTTTTTATTCCCTTTGCCATCTCTGCAGAGAAAGTAGCGGCTTACGAGTTAAAACAGAAAGAAGCAGAAGAAAAGAAGGAGAGACTGTATGTTATTTCTTTCATGCAGTCCATACACCTAACATTAACGAGTACTCTAGGAGTAATTCTCAAAAATCGAAAGTCATCCAGAATTGCTTTGATTTTGCTTTACTTCGCTCTGTGATTGGTCCAGAAAACTCGCGCTAATCACCCAACCAATCAGATGCAAAACTAAAACCAATCGCGCGTTCGTCACTAGCGTTTTCCCGCGCTTTACGCAGTGTACTCATTTGTACCCTACCTTCACAATGCCTCCATGTGATTTTTGTAATTACTTTTCGATTTACTACACTCAATTTAAAAGCGTTCTATTAGCAGCACTGTTACCTTCGAACAATGAAACCCATAAAGCTCTATACTTTGAAGAATGAGTGTCAAAATTTTTAATGATCTTTTCTTGGCCGTAACTGTGAATTAATTTCTCAGCAGCCGAAGGTCAAATATGCAGTATCCTCTCACTAACAGGAAGTTTTTGTCACTTTTCATTTGCAGAGGTCCAAATGAAATTGTTCGACCTAGGATAGCAATGTCAGCGTGTATTGAAGCTTTTGCTGCTCCTGAGACTGTAGATGATTTTTACAGCACCGCAATTAAAGCAAAAAGCGTTGCGCAAAAGTAAGTTCTACTCCCGCAGTACGATATTTAACCAGTACACTTAGTGTGTGGTATGTGACAAATTTTCCGTGTGTGTTTGTTTGTCAGAACAACTAGATTCGCCACGTTTCCTAATTACCTAATGGTGCAGATGAAGAAGTTTACTCTGGCTGATGACTGGACTCCAAAGAAATTAGGTATGGCCGGTTTTGTAATATTTATACACAAGATGAGAGAAGGTGTCTCGGTGCTATGCATGTAGATAAATCCGCTTCCTGCACTTAACCTGCACTGCGCTTGCTCGAAAAGTGACTATGTTACTGTTTTCTAGCCTGTAAACAGACTACAGATGTGATGATATCAGTTCCCCTAAATTTACATATAACATAAATTTACTGCAAACGTAATTTTCTCAAATGGGAGGTCCTAGAAATGGGTTCCCTTCTTTAAATTAACCAACTATGTATGTACATGAAACAGAATGGACACGGGAAGTTTTGTTTACAAGAGGAGCGAAGATGGAATTTTCCTTGGCTTGTCGTTCGTCGAAAAAGTGGCTTGCTTGTAAGGTTACTTTTTCAAATGTAATGTATTCTAAAGGAATAATCGTGTAAATTTTTTCCAGATGTTTCTGTAGATATTTTAGATGAACTAGACCTGACTCATCTAAGAGCTACTGGTCTTCAGTCGAACGAAGAAGAACTCCCAGAAGGCGAACAGGCTCCTGCAGGTACAACCTTCTGAGTCTCTCATTAGTTGTAAGAGAAATATATTTTTGTTGACGAGCTGTCTCACTGCAAGGAAAGTTGAGTTCCAGGGGTATCCAAGGCCTTCCATTGTGTCTAGCTAGCTTTGGGAAATAATCCGTGCACATGGCTGGCAAATCTTTGCAACCGAGCAATGAGCCCCCATTCCAACACGAATGCGATCATTGGCAGGAAAAAATAAGGAAGGTAGATGAGGGAGGGAAAACTGCTCGAGACTCACGATGAACAACTAATGAAAAGCTGCTTTAGAACTCAGAACAGCATTTTCGGTAAACTACTTTAACGGTTGATCATTAACTACCATTGCCGTGAGAACAGTGTTTTGATTGCCACGCATCCAGGCGAAATACTCACCCCACCTTCTGCACCGTACCAAACCAAGACCGAAATCTCATTTCGTGTTTATTTCTTTCCAGCTCCTCAGATCCAAATCGATGATAGTGTCGTTGCTCAGCTTGTTTCTATGGGCTTCGACAAAGAAGGTTGTCGGAAGGCTGTCTATCACACGAAGAACCAAGGTAAGAGAGCCATCCACAGTGTTGCTAAAATCTTTAAACTGTGTAATAACATTGTGGAGAGGTGTTACACGTGTGGCATGCCAGGGGCGAAGACATGTATGAGTTTTTATTTTAAATCCGACCCCAGTCAGTTTTGATTTCTCATCAGTATAATTTACCAATGGATAGATTACTGGTGAGTTAAGGCTGTTAAACCAGCTAGGGTCATAAGTGACAGGGGACAGCAGAATGCAAGGGTAGACAAAGTTGATTGTGAATTCTGTAGAGTGAGAAAGACGTTGAAGCAGAGTAGAAGAGATCAGTTCATATCGAATGTTTTTCATGCTACTTTCCCTGATTGATGTTCATTTGTTCATTGGTTTTTTTCTTTGATTAGGTGTAGAACCTGCCATGAACTGGGTTTTAGAACATATGGGTGACCCAGGTGAGACGAGTGTTAGTAATCATTTTTGTGTGCAGGTTTCCACGTTTCAGATGGAGCTGCTCTTAAAGTACTTTGGGTCTTTAAAATGTTATACTTCGTGTGTTGACTTAATCATTTGCAATCCACGTTAACCTTTTCAATTCTTAACCCTCCTGATGTCATTTTTGGTCTCCTTATTTGGTTTTACTTTCTTATCAAAGTTTCTTTTATTTCCTCTTGGCTCAAGGTGATTTAATTTACAAGGTGCACGAAAATGGCTTAAGACATCAGTCGTGACGCGGCCCCTTTTTACAATAGAGCAATTCGGTCATGCATTCTTCTCCCTGTTGGAAATTACTTAAAACATAAGTGTGTAAATAACATTTTTAACGACTACGAATGTTTTGTTCGAAGACGTGTTTGCCACAAGGTTTCGGCCCATCACTGTGCTCTGCTCGTTAACCTCTCAGTCATGATAAACAAGGAACGTCATCTCAGAATATCCATACATTCTGAGGCAAAGAGGTGATAAGAATGAAAAAACTTGTCAGCCAGAGAGAATTATCTTCATATCTTAACAAATTCTCGTAACTTCTTCAAAAGGAAATGAATGAAAACATGAAGGAAAAATTGATAAGTGATCCCCACACTCATTCTACACTCTTTGTTAAGAATGGGTAATGATGAAGTTTCAGTAAGACCTGTCAACAATTTTGTTATTGGGGCTGCTTGCAATAAAAATTATGTACCAGCATGTAATTAAAGAGAGTGACAAGTATGTCTTGAAGCTTTTTTTTTGCCAGTCCCTATGTAACGATTTCAAATCTCTTAGAACCATTCTGTCTTTACCATTCAAGATTTCACCTCACCACTAGTGCTTCCTGGTAGTCAAGGATCAAAAGCTGTTGATGAAGAATCATTGGCGATTATTACTTCTATGGGTTTTACTGAGGCACAAGCTATCAAGGCTTTAAAAGCCACCGTGAGTATCTCCTCAATGTAAACAGCTTTAAGCCTTCCGTGATAGTATTAGCAATTTAGACCACATTTTTTGTGTGTTCCAAGTCCAAAAACACCCATTTTTCGAGGAAACCTAACTCACCGCTTCCGTTGCGCTTTGCTTTGTTTGTTGTTTGGTTTTTTCGGTTTTTTGGTATTTTTTTTCTAGCGTAATTCGGATCACGTGATCTGACATGCCATGTTCAGATCGCTGGAAGGTTGTATCTCACCCCCACTCACTCTCTTGTTTGTTTGTTAGCCAGCCATTTTAAACGGATAATCGGCTGTTTGATCCATTTTTCATTCTATTGTGAATGCATTCGCGCTTGTCATGCTGATGGCTAATGTTCTCTTCTCAAAGTTTGCCATTTTTACCGTCACCCTCATGTAGGACAACAACTTAGAGCGTGCAGCGGATTGGATATTTAGTCATGCGCATGAGCTCGATTCTATGGAAGAAGAAAGTTCTGCTAACCAGGAGACTGGACCCCAGTATAATGATGGACCAGGAAGTAAGTATCAGCATAAGACAGGTTTGTTTGTGTTGTGAACAGTGTTTGACTTTGGTTACTGCCTATAGGGTTTCATTCACTGGCCTAACTGTTGAACTCTTGTCTCATGAGCTGTATCCAGTAGATAAGTTGCAATGTGGTAGATAAATATTGGGCAAGATTTCAGTAAGCGTGTAATTAAGATCATATCAATTTGTGCAGAAACAATGAGATCGAGTTGCGCTGCAATTACGCCGTGAATTTAGATGGAATAAAATGAAAAAAATACTATTCTTCTTCCAGCTGTTTTCGTGGATAAATACATTGCAATGGAGAACTTGTTCAATACATACCGAGCAAGTTGATTAAAATTAAAAAAATTTGGTTTTTTTGTTGTATGTTTCTCATGATTTCATTTCTCTTTCAGAATACCGTCTGATTGCCTTTATCAGTCACATGGGTACATCAACGATGTGTGGTCATTATGTTTGTCACGTGCTTAAGGACGGAAGGTATTGTATTTACAATTACATTTCCTCATCAAATTGCGCTTAAACCTTGAACTGCTATAATTTTTTTGTTTCTCAATAGGTGGGTGATTTTCAATGATCGTAAAGTAGCCCTGTCAGAGAAACCGCCGAAGGATCTTGGGTATTTGTATTTGTACCAGCGAGTACAAAGTTAACTCAATCGTGCGCAGTTTTGTGTTTTTCTGCGCTTCTAAAGTTCTTCAGTGAAGTTTTGCGCCGAGTCAGAACAGAGACGGACGTAGGAAAATCATGTTTGCAGTGGATTTGAAAAGTGAAAGAACACTGGCACGTTGACAGACGCCTTAAAATGACGTGTTAGACAAATTTTAATTTGGAACGAAAAGAACCGTTACGCATTAGGTTGTTAATAAATTTGCTCATTGTGGATAATGGATCTGCTAATTGCTGTAATGTCAGCCTGGAGGCCACTTTTATTCTTCTTTCCGACTGAACGACGTAATTTTGTAATTTCGTTTTTTTTTTAAAGTATCATGTAATAACAAGCGTAATAGTTGCCCAACGTGCACACGTGTGAAACACTTCATTCTAGTCGCGCGTTGTCCTAATGGCGTCTCTCTCAGCGCGTAAAAAGGTTTTCTGTAGAATTCGAAGTTGTTGAGGCAACTCCAAAAACCTCCTGGTAGGTCAAAGAGAAATCCTTGAGGCTTTATTTAATCTCATTTATTGGTAGAGTTCCTTATCGGTAAAATCTAAACTCTATCTGTAAGACCAACTTCTGTACGCAAATCAACTGTTTTCTTGTGTATAGAAACAGTATCAAGGCTCATACTGTGTTATGGTGCTGTGAGATCTTTAAGAGTGATGCTTCGTCAGTTGTTCTGTTGACATGGAAGCCAAAGAAAATCTGTTAAAATCCGCAGATGTATCGCCATCTCTGACTGTACTCTGGTCTTGAATGCCATTTGACTGGGGCTCAGCGGCGCATTTTAACCCTTTGCCACGGTAAAACCTTTCCTTGAGCAGTCCACGTACTCTTTTAGAAGTAGTGAAGCACAACGCGATGAAAAACCCTGAAACAAATCTCGCAGAAAATTAGTTACCAGAAATTTAACTATCATTAACTGCTTGTGCCATACCGAAGTGAAAATAACTTTAACACTGTTATGTAGGTGGGGCACTTAAATTTTTTGGGTGGCTTTTTTTGATTAAGCGGGGCCTCCAGGCAATGTTGCGGCTCTTCACCGATTTAATACAGTTTACTGTTAGGTCCTAAAATTATTCCCTGATTGTAGTTTGCACGACCGACGGATGCTGTTAATTTAAATCATTGCTTAAGTTATTGCTTACATACGAGGCTGTAGCCCCTCCCCCTTTCGCAACGAAAACGATGGCTTGCTTATAATAAAATTAGTTGGCGAAATGTTCCCACAAATAATTTCACCAGGATCGCGGTGGGCGAAAAATTTTGTACGAGGAGTATTTTCGTTTGACAACTACCCCTTCATGCATAACAAAATTTGATAACGGAATCTCTAGATTTTGTCCTGATTACAATAATGTGTGCTACTGCCAGAAAAATCTGAAAAAGCTATTTAATTTTTGAGAAATTTTAATTGGGTAGTATGGACAGGTACACACGCACCGACGCACACAAGTTTGCCTTGGTACTTCACAAATCAAACTTGAAAAAGTACCTTGCATGCAGTTCAGCACAGTGGAAGGGTAATGAAGAAATTCAGTTTGTTTCCAGTTAGCAGCAAGCCCTAGGATCCAGGTCAGTCCCATCACTGTGGTCAACTTGATGCAGATGAGGGTCAGAGAAGCTTTAGAATTGTTTGCTGCTAGACTGGCACCCTAAGGTTAAAAAACGTAAACGAACAAAAGCTTCTCTGATCTATTCAACCAGTCAATGAAAAGTAAGTAAAAGATATCCCAAGCGGACTTATTGTAAACTCTAATGGGTTTCTTCAATGAAGATTTGAGCATGATGCCTCTTTCTTAATGCTACTGAATTCTTGATGCTACTGACCGATGCCAGAACGTCTCCCACACTCCATAAGCCTAAGGTCAAACCTTAAGTACTCGTCCTTACGCATACCTTTTGTAACTGATGGATGCCATAGAGATTTTTCGCCAGACACGTTATATTGAAAACCAAAGCAAGGCTCACTGGGGTAACCATAGCAACAATCATGGCTGTGTTTCCAAATATCCAGCAATAATTCGATTTACCTATCGATTAAATACAGGGAGAAATCGAGATCGTTTCTTAGGAGTTGTTCTTAGAGAGGCAGTTTGCTCCATAAAGATAGCAATTATGAGTGACTAACATTTAATTTCTCCTTATAATATCATTCCCGAATCACACATTTAGGTTACCAGAATAAAGGAAATGATCACCAACTAAAGAAGCTTTTGATTGTTAAAACAAATTCTCCTTGGAAGCACCTTAGGAAATGTAGAGAGCATAGTATAGAGAGTTTGCATGCTGATGTTAGGGTGTAAAGGGTTAAGGAGCGATATGACAATGATAAGCTGGTGTAAACGCTGCTAAAGGAGGTCAGTTGAAGCTCCTATTGATGAACGACAGTACCTGTAACAATTTTAACTTCAAGACTTTTGTACAAACCATATCCGACATGAAATGATCCTGTGAAGTCAAGTACAGTAAATAAACCAACAACCATTACAGGAAGTCCCCATCCCAGAATGCAATACTTGATGAAGGTTTTCCTCTGGTTCGAGCTTTGTCTCCTTGCGTTGCCTGCTGCAGAAATTAAGAACAAGTGAATGGCGTTTATTTTCAAGATATGTGAAAAATCAGTATGATCAGTATCTTCAGTCAGACGTGATTAGACAAACAGGTATGTGAAATTTTTTAACATAACAGTTGCTTAGTTTTGAACTTGTTGGCCAAGTGGTTGGCGACTCATACCACAGATCAACAGGTCTAATTCATGGTACCACCCTCCACCCAATTTTAGCAAGAATTTAAAGGGGACAAGCAATCTGTTGGAAACTTAACGAACTGCTGAGAGGTGGCCAGCATCAAAAGACTGCTAAGCTCTTTAAAACATTGTTAATGTTCGTGCGTCAGTTGACTAACGTTTTAGGAACTTAACTACTCACCCTTAACGGTAAAAGCATTTGCTGTATTAAACGCCATAATGCTCATCCACGAGAATGCAGCGAGGATGAAGAAATGTAGAGAAATAGCAACTGCCTTACATAGAGCGTCCACTTCATTCGCCTTTTCAACAGTGAAAAAAATTATTTGGTAACAGAGTAACGCCCCACAAATGTTGATGAGACATTTTCCAGGCAGATTTCTTAGCTCTTTGAAAAACAAGTAAATGAAAAGAAGAAAGCACAGTGAAATTATTGATAGAGTTGTACCAATGACTGTGATATAAATGAGAACTGTGAAATCCTGGTTGGAATCGTTAGTAACTTTATCATCTGGACACAATACATATACAGTGCTCCCATTCAAGTCCATGACAATCTTTTTATCGAGGAATTGTTCACTCTGTATCATTACATGGTGTTTGTCTAGGGATGTATTAATTTTTGCTGATTGATTTTTTACGGGAATGAATGCTTTGCAAGTTTTCCCATTAATAGTGATGGTGCAGCGGCTACCGTTTGAAGTACAGTGTAACATCTGGGCAGTAACGTTAAACTTTTCTTTGGTTGCTCCAGTTGGCTGTGGTGTCTTTGGTGTTTCAGGATTCCTAAAGTTTCCGCTGACGTCCAAGATGATTGACCAGGGTATACCTGGGCCTTGAGCGGTCGCTGGCTCGGAATGTCCTTCAGGATCACAGAGAGCGCAATGAGGGTTCCTGTATGATACTTTAGCTTTTTGATAGCCAACTGAAAAAGGCATGGAATATGAAGAACAAAGGTCTTTAACTAAAGACATCCAGGGTTGTTTATTCACCGCGCATATTGTATCATGCAATACACAATGTCGCGTTTGGTAAGACGATGTCTCGTATTTCCATGAACACTTGTTTATTTTGTCCAGGACAAACGTCCTAACTGCCTTGATGTCCGACCCATTGAATTCTAATCTTCCACTCCCGCATTTTACTTGGAGTTCCCAGAAAGTCACTTTTTCTTCTTTGCTACATCTGGCACAGGCAATGTTTCTGTATGTAACATTGTGCTTCCATCCAAACACGGGTAGTTCGCTCTGTAATGTCATATTTAACTTCTTAACAGCTTTGCAATCTTCACCAACTGGATTGCCTGATAGGCTGCAGGATGATTTCATGATTATCCCAGACCATGGAGGTTCATTGAAACGCTGCCCCCCGTGGCTAATGACATCTCCACAGGTCACGTTCTGGTTTTGTATAGCCTCAATAATACTTGCACTTAGATGACATCTTAAAAAACAGTTGTTTGGATTCTTTGTATGAGCGAGCATGTCAAGTAGAGGAAATATCTTAATGTGAAGAAAATGTCCAATACCTTAAAGTATGTTTTGTGCCGAGTTCGTAAAGGTAGATAGATAGGAAGAGATCAAAACATAATTGTATTAAGGTGTTGATGATAACTTAGATCAGAAAAAATGACATCACAAAGTTTATTAGCGACGAATTTGAAAATCTGAGGCTAATTTTTCGAGCTGCGTTACAAAAAATAAACTAAAACAAACTGAAAAAATCGAGGAGCTTATACCTAGCGTTAACTGAACTCCAACACTGATAAAGAGTAACCAAACTATGCGAGGGCCTTCAAAGAACATCGCGCTCAACAAGTATTAGGATGATTTAGGACTATCAACTAAGTTGCGAAGGTAAATTGGCTACGGTAAAGAGTTGTTCCAAAGCTGACGTTTCGAGCGTTAGCCCTTCGTCAATCGCTCCTACGAAGCGCTGACGCTCGAAACGTAAGCTTTGAAACAACCCTTTACGGTGGCCAATTTATGTTAGCAACTCAGTCGATAATACTAAATCACCTGAATATACTCTTCCACCGATGCAGCACCACAGTTTCTTTTGAAACTTATTTCCCTGAAGTATTAGGATACACAGTTAAAACGAAAAGCGATGAATTTCCATTTGTTGTTTCGATAATGACTTCATAAAATTCCTTATCATCCAAAAAATCACCGTAGCAACACTGCAAAAGAACACCCTTATTTTATCGTTGACTCTGACCACGGGTGACCCCGTTGTTGTAAAATTGCAAGTAGCGTAACAAAATTATATTTTAAAGTATTTGAGCTACCGTAATCTTTTGTGAACTTCACTTGAGAAATAAATGCTTAGCAGCATCTCGTTTGCTGAATTTATCTTCAGTTTCTGCAAATTATTGCAGGAACTGCTAAATGCACTGCCACAGCTTGGATGCTTCTTTAATCAATTGACCAATTAATCGATGATCGAAGTACAATGTATTGCTGTCAATGTAGCAAACGAACAACGACTAGAGATGTTACGTATAGAGGAAAAACAAATTGTACTTACCGCGAGTAGAAGTCCACGCAGCAGTCACCGAGTGTTTTGCAAACCTCATCACAGAAACACTTATTTGCCTCTCCTCTTTCATCTCGGTAGCATCTGCCTGCGCATGATTGTTCAGAATTGTTTTTCTGCTTAAACACTTCAGCAAAGTATCTCTCCTCTTGTGGTAGGGTAACATTATGGAGACGTAAGAGCTTTGTCAGGTTTTTCAAGCTGACAGTTTCACCTTTAAAATTTACCACGAAGTCTTGATGATCCGACTCTAAATTAGGAGAAAATTAAAAAAATCATAAACAAAATGTACATCAAAATTCTAAATGGCAAAAATGTTGCAAAAAAATTAAGGTGTAAAGTAACTTATACTGTGATTCTTACATGATATGGAATTGAGAGGTGGCCAGCATCAGCATACCGCTAAGCTCTTTAAAACATTATGTTAATGTCCGTGCGTCAGTTGAGTAACGCTTCAGGAACTTAGCTACTCACCCTTAACGGTACAAGCATTTGCTGTATTAAGGGTTTTCTAATTTAGCAGAAGTTCCGCAGAAGTGGAACTTACTAATAAGTAAAAGTTCAGTTGAAGCAAAAAATGACTGAGTTAACTGGCGAAACATCCACGAACAAAAACATTATCACTTCTTAATTGAATATATCACCAGGGCGCGGAAGATTGGAGCGAACTTTCGCAAAATCGGAAAACCCGAGTAAATTGAACCTAACAGGGTTATCTATCATTTAAGAATTTGCAGAAAGCGAAGCCTTGAAATCAAAATCTAAGGCTTCTACAGTGCTTCAGTCCACGCCCTCAAGATATCTGATACGTACCACTTAACTTCTGAAAATCTTGAGCAGAGTCGATGCCAAAAGATTTAACAAGAGGAAAGTTGATCGCCCAAAAAGTCGTAATACACACTGACACGAGAGTTAAATTGCCACGCTTCATAGTTATTCCGGAAAAATTCCAAGCTGAAAGAAAAAACAAATTTGAGCAAATGCGGTACCTGTTTTAGACTGTACAAGACTCGAAGAGAGAACGGCTTAATCATCTAAACCTCTTAGGTGTCACATCTTCATTGCAGCGTCTCTGAGTTATTATGACGATCTTTGTGCCAACAGCCGCATTTTGCATGTGAGCTTTTAGCTAATTAAACCAAGATTAATTTCACAGGCGGGTGGCGTTGATGTGTTCTGTTGTTTACGCTCCTAGTAATTAAAACAATTTTCAGTTGAACGTTATTTGAATTTGCAAATGACAACTCGATGAAAATTTCAAAAAAGCTTATCACAATAGTTGTGGTTTCGCAGTATCGTCAACTTTTATCATTCACTGGTGGGCTACAAATGAAAAAGTGGGAAAATTTTTAGTAAACTATCATTTGAATTTGCTCAGGGGTACTAAAACAGCTGCGGGTCAAAAATAATTTGAAAAAAATCAAATTCCCAATGTTGACAAAGAGCAACTAAAATTGTGTGCAAATAGAAAAGAAAGCTAAATCTCTGCTGCAAGACCAATCATGATTACAAAACTGAACTATACAGTAGATTTATTTCCTACCATAATGGGTTCTTCAGATGTTTTGTTGATCGAAATAACCAATTTTAGTTTGTTGCCATGCAAACATCGGTAAATGTCTTAAAAGCATGTTCCTGTTTTTTCCTCTCTCAGTTTGCTAACAGCCTACACCCTGAGTCAATCTTTGCTGTGACCCTTTTTTTTAAAAAGTATGAATTTAATCGCTTGATTAAAATAAGTATTGTTCTGCTTAACCAAGAGCAAAGGGTTACTGTTGTTGAAAAATGCCAAGTAATAATAAGTGTGGAAACTACAAGAATTATTTCTGGCATAGAAAAACGATTTTGTAATTACGTTTTATAATATTATGTTTGAAAGAAGGGTGACATTACTAGCTCGAAATGAAAACATCATAAAATCATGTTAATGGCCAGCATTTGAATAATTTCATCCCTGGCTGGTGAATATTTTCTAGATTACGACTAACGGAAATTATCTAATCATACAGATAGAAAAATGAACCAAAGTCTGTTGTGATCATAAAACTGGTTATCACATGCTCTTTTCAAATGTACTAGGCGGAATTTTTTGCTCGAGAAAATAAATTTTTCCTTTATTATTTTGCACATCTTTTGTTCCCTTTATGTTATCTTTTGTGAACCCCTCGAGCGCTTCAAAAAACACTGCTGCATTTCGAGTCGTCGTAATACAAATATCTCCGTTATCCCGCGGTGCATCAAAGGGCCCCTCGCAAATTGCACGTTCACCATACATTGATTCTCCTAATATCTCTCACGCATGCGCTACGCCTCTAATAAAGAAATAAAAACTACTCCAAAATTAAGGTTTGAAAATTAAAAGCCCAAAACGATTCTTTAACTAAACTGCTCAGGAAATTTGAACTTGCACGTGCGTTGTAATTCAGACAGCTTTTGTTTCGCAGAGGATATTGAATTTTGAAGTTAAAAGAAATACCGACACGGCATCTGTGTGATGGGGGCTATATGATGCAAATACTGTCATTCGAATACCTATTTATATGAACAATTTAGGACTTTTGTTCCCTCTTTCATTCGGGCTGCATCCTCGTGAGTCTCATTCCCATTCAATCGAGCTTCTATCTTATTTCTTCTTCTTTTCATTTTCTTTTCATTCTTTTCTTTACATTACCAAGAAACTCCTATTTGACCCTTTACACCCTAAAATTAGACTCAGCGTGCATATTCTCCATACTGCTCTCTATAAATTTTCTAAGGTGCTGACAAGGAGAATTTGTTAAACAATCAAGAGCTTCTTTAGTTGTTATACATAATGAACGGAAACGTTCATTGTGTGAATGAGGAATACAACAGTGCCGATCTTTCTAGATCTACAAATTTTCTTTTCTGCAGAATAATTATTTGACTTAATCATCTTTCAATAAGATATCAACAGTTGTTCACTTAGAAAAAAGCGAAAAAAAGCTCAAGATCCAGATTAAATAATCAAACATGTTATTTCTTGAACTATTTTGTTACAAACCGTATCCGATATTGAAATTTCCACTAAGGTCCAGCACTGAGCATAAACCAACGATTACTGCAGGCAGTCCCATCCCACAATGCAACACGTGACGAAGCCTTTACTGGTGTCTGGTGGCTGTCTTCTTGTGACAGGCACTAATTGGAGGGGATTCAAGAATACCGGTGAAACATTTTCTTAAAGGGATTAGCCTAAAAATTATCACATTTGAAAAAACTCCCCGCACTATCAAATCATCCATAATCTTTTGAAACTAAACGTGCAAAAGACTTCCTACACAATTGTACAAGTCTAGCCAGTGAGTACTTGTTGAGCAGCTCACATAACACCCACTCACGCGGGTAAATTTTTCCAACTTCTGCAGAAATAGTGATTTTTTTTTCTACATTCTTTTGGTTACTTTAAAACAAATGACGGGATGTTTCTATATACTTGTAACACATTGTGATGGAGAGATACTCTAAAGAAGTGGAGCCTTTTTTCCGATCCTAGAAATGCAGTGAAACCCAAACAGGCAACCACAGGACTCTTCCTTGTGAATGCTCGATGGAGGAGTATAAGTAATTGAAGAGTAGAACGGATTATACTGTATTGGAATTGCAACATTGTATCTTTAACAATGCGAGGATTTGTAAAACACTCAGTTTCTTTTTTCTTGCTTAACGAAAAGTTTGAAATACCACAATTCAACTTTTATTCAAAGATCTGAAGTTCTTTGCAGCTGTGCTACATAACAAGAAGGGTTATGAATTTGGCTTAAGTGAAAGGATCATTGATGAAGTGAGGCAAATTGCAAGTGTAAACGCTTTAAGAGGTGTTTTGGCAAAATTTCGGTTTATTGAAAGCTAAGGTCACTTTCTTCCGACTGAGACCTGTTTTAAAATGCTTTTGTTGATTAGCAATTTCTCCTAACAGGTGTTCTTGTGACAGGAGAAATGAACAGACCCAGACAGTTCATGTAAGGAGTCTGAAGGAATAAATACACACAAAACAACCAGAAAAATTATATTGCCTTGCGCAAATAATCAAATGGACACTTTCCTTTGCTTCCCACAAAAATTAATAAAAGGCGTTCAGGACTAAAAGGTTTACATAAAAATCCACTCAGCTGCTGCCTGGAAATAATAGGCGTAAATTCCCATAATGGAAAAAAGAGAATACGAATGGGTTACACAAAAATGTTGACTAATAAGGAAGAGGTTTTTATTTCGACAGTTTTATTGCCAGGTCATTCATTTCCGTTCCTTTACTTAATGATTCACAATCGCAAGAATAATTACGGCATACAAACTTTTATTCAAGTTATACTGCACTTTATGAGTGTATGTACAATTTAAGTTAAGAATTACTTCATTGCGTCATACTATATCGAGATAACATGCATTTGAAATAACGTAAAACAAGATGACTTTCCGACCTTTCGTTTCTTTTTGTGAACTATTCTATTTTAAACTCCTCATCTACTCAGCTAGGGGTACATCCTCCCAGTGTTCAGCTTCTTTTCTTAAAAAGCTGTTGATTTATATTACTCAGATGCCAAATGTGAAAGTCACTGCCACCCTTCCTTCCACTAATTTATCAATTTAATAAAGTTGCAAGACAAAAGTACAGCTTTACTTTTCTAAACCTAAGGTATAGTGCAGCTACTGCCATGTGATCCCACGTTCGAATTCCACTATTTATCATTGTTATTGTTATCAGTACTATTATCGGGTAAATTATCATTAATAACTATTTTACATAAGCTATATTGTAACCCTCACCACTTTGGATGATAACAATTCTACCCAAAACACAAGAAGAACAGCAGAAAATATATACAAAACAAACAAGCAGAAGAGAGAAGCGAGAGCTTCAAGGAAAAATACGATTCCTCTTCAAGTTCGATGAACCTGTATCTCTTTCAGCCCTAGTCTGAATTCTAGCATATTGAACACGAGTGGGGTGGTTACAATTCCCTCGTTTAAAAAATCTTTTCTCAAAGAGATCTCGGACTCTTTTGGTGGTAACGAAAGACAACGTGATGAAAAACCCTGAAATCATAACATTTTTGAATTAGCCTCATCGGTTTGAAAGTAACGTAGGCCCAGCTAAATCCTCTCATCCACCACTATTCTATAAACGCACTCACTGGACAATGCCTTTCGGTATAACCACCGAAGATTACACTAAACAACATCTTACGACTACATGAAAGATTTAATCCACTGCAAACGTACGCCAGTAACCCAAATAGATTCGAAGGTATATGTAGTTCAGGGGTACACCTTAAGAGTGGAAAAGTTCCCGATTGAAATTAACCCTTAAGTTGAACCAATATATATACAAAGGACATAGGAGCATTTTTTATATCTATACACATTTATACATGAATAGAAAACGAAGTTGGATTCAAATGAATGAAGTGCTTCCTTTAAAAATAATTCTCCAAAGAACAGTTCCTCTGTGTTTGTTCCCTTTATCAATTGTCAGGTTTTGGTTTGTTTCTTTTTTTTTTGTTTTGTTTCTTTGTTTTTATCAAACGATACCTTGCAAGCAGTTCAACACAGTTGCAGGGTAATGTAGGAGCCCAGTTTGCTTCCAGTTAGCGGCAAGCGCCAGAATCCTAGTCAAACCCATGATTGTGGTTAGTTTGATGTAGATGAGAGTCAGAGAACCTCGAGAACTATTTGGTGCTGCCAAGTTAGAGACCTAGGAAGAAAAACAACACCATTACTCTCTGATATCTCACCCAGCACTCGATAAATATGAATTGAAACCTCTGAAAATTCAAATGGAGTTGCTCTGCCATTATCCCACATACCTGCTGTAAACGGCGAAATGCGACAAAACACTTCGTCAGGCACATGATATTGAAAACCAAAGCGACGGTCACAAGAGTTACCATCACAACAATCGTTGCTGTTTTATCAGATATTCAGCAGTAGACCAAATTCCCTGAAACAAGAAATATATGAAAAGGGGCATCTAAGCTATCTTGCAAAATATATTTAAACCATTTCAACGAAGACTAGACAAAAGGGAACTGCTTTCTGCCTCAAAACGGTATCTTATTGAACAAAAGTTGAGACTGGAAAGGAACTTCTGTAGAAGTGAAAATAATCGTCATTTCAATTTTTGTCATACCCTATGAGTTGCAACAATATCACTGTCATTTAAATCCAGAGAACCGTCAAGGATACAGAACCTCATGTAAATATCAAATGTCTTTTTTACGTAATAGATGCAGTCTTCTTTGGTTTCAAAAACAAAGTTTTCAAAGTGAAAATTAGGTAGGAATTGACCAGTTACAGGAATCTGGTTATCCCTCGTTAAAGGTTAGACCAAAACGATAATTACGTAAAGAAGGAATCCAATATTGCCTACTTGTCTATATTTCATTTTCTTCCGCTTTCAATCTCTCCATAAGCTACCAAGAGTGTCACTGAGAGTCACTGAGTGGAGATGATTATGGATTTATGGTGAAATATTTTCCTATAGGGGCTAGTCTAAGGTTATCACATTTACAAGACTTTCCACCCAGAAAATTACTTTTCTCTCGAAAAAAAATATGGCAACATTTCCACCAAGAGTGTACATAAGCTCAGCTAGGGGAAATGGAAATATCCCACGAAAAGTCTCATTGATGGGCAAATTTATATAGTAGAATATTAGTGTGTTGTACAAGGTTGTATTTTTCTCAAATTGTGTGAAAACAGCAGTTATGTTCTATTTACGTTCTATGAGTGAAATTCTACAGCCTTTTACCTTCTTCACAAGAAGTAAGGGAACGTTCTTATGCACTGGTGACACACTTAGCAAAAGAGAGACTCTTCAGATGTGGAGCTTTTTAGTTTTTTCGATCGAAGAAATTCAGTGAAACCCTAATAGGCACCCACGGGAATCTTCCTACTGAAGGCTTTATTGCGTGGTTTCATTTTTACTGGAGTGAATCGAAGAGTCGGACTTACTGAATCTAATTTCCGCTTCATGAAAGATTTCCTCTATAGTCTATATGATGCGGATTTTACTGCATAGATGGAAAATAAAATGTTTCAAATTGCAACTAATTATAACTAAGGCGCACACCTGTTTCTTTAAAAAAAAACTTATGTACTGGATTTGTGTTCGTTTGTGTTTCTCTATCACGATTCCAATTACCAGTCGTGGTAAAGGTACTTGCTGTATCTTTGGCCATAACCGTCATCCATGAAAACGCAGAACGAACAAAGAAATGAAGTAAAATGACCACTGCTTGACAGAGGATAGGGACTTCCGTTGACTTTTCTGTGCTTAGGAAAAGTGCTTGATAACACAATAATGCTCCACAGAGATTGATCACACATTTCCCAGGAAGATTTCTAAGTTCCTCGAAAGACAGGTAAACGATTAGAAGGAAAAACAACAAGGCCATAGACAGCGGCATACCAATGGATGTGATGCGATGCAACACTAAATTGTCGTTTCCTCGTTTTCTGTGATCTAGCTATTCAGCTGGAGCTTTTGGGCACAAAATAAGAACTGCATTTCCCCGTGGCCTTTGCAAATTCGCATTGACAAAAGCGGATTTCTCTTCAATAGCAGAAGGCTTGGGTTAAAGAAAATCGCTTGATTAGACAAATTTTTTTGTAGAGTCAAAGTTGTACAGGTATTTCAATTTTCGATTACTTTACAGCTGTTACCGATTAACGTGCAGTTGAGCAGTTTCAAAGACAGATTAGAACCTTGAACTGGAGGATCAGACGGGATTACTGAATGTGAAGACTGAATAATAAATTTAGGTTTCATTATAGCTATTGAATTCTTCGGCAGTTAAGTTGCGTCTCTTATGTTTTTGATCACGTCGAGAAGGATTTGTAATGGAGGAGTGTAGGGCGGGGGTGCATTCGATGGTGATATTGTAATCGTTTGCTGGGGAATCAGCCATCCTCCCTGTTTACACAAAGCACACTGAGGGTTCCTGTAGCTTCTTTTACCATCAACTGTAAAAATCATAGAGTACAAAGTACACAGTTCTTGAACAAATCGGCAAGATATTTAACTTATTCGAAGAACAGCGTGCATCCCTTACCACACAACTTCTATAATAGCCTGTAAGGTTGTTAGTTGGTGCGTATTTCCAGGAACAATCTTTGTGTTTCTTCAAAAACTTCACAGCAGTGATGTTCAGAGCAGGTGGTTTACTCGTGGTAGTTGTGCACGAAATATTAAGACCCCATAAACTGGCTTTTTCTTCGTTATTACATTTAATACCTAAGATGCTTCTGTATGTTACGTTTTGTTTTATGGCAAAGATAGGGACTGAGGGAGTTCTTTTTGTAAAGTTAGATTCAACTGCTGAACAGTCAGGGTATGGCAGTCGTTGGTACTCTGATTGTTGTAAGATCCACAGGTAGATCTCATTATTACACCAGACCATAAATAGCTATTGATATCTCCACATTCCACATCCTGAAGTAACACATTACTTCCACTTTGATTGCACAAGGATCGGGGATATATTAGAAGATTTTGAAGGCTTCTGCGTATTTCGGTAAGAAATAAGAACCTATTTCAAGACGAAGCCTAAGTAGTATCTACTTTGTTTTGTTTTTTTTTGCTGTTGTTTTCATTCTTCTAAAATCCTATGATCAGGCCCTTCCCAGCCTCAGTCTTTGACAACTTTCATTTGGGTCCATCATCCACCTTGCTCCCTTCCACAACTTGTTGCGAGACTAGTTCAAACGACAGGTGCCTAAGCAACCCGAGGCCTATTTCTTAAGAGTCCCGGAAAATACCAATCCGGAACTAGTTGCCCTTTTTCTTGATAAATCTTGAAAGATTTATATATAAAAAGTTTTGGAAACAGAACGAAAAAAATACCAGGAAGTGAAGAGGAAAGGAGTGGTTTTTTCAGCCGAGACTTGCCGAGCTACATTCCTAAGATAGAGATTTAAACTGATGGCTTCGAGATTGTAAAGTTTTGACTTAATTTACGACGAACGGGCCATGAGCCTTTCTAAACTAAAGCTAGAAAAAGTCGTCTGATTTTGCTTCATTCAAATCAGAGGCCAAATTTGGATGGTAATACTAACTTTGAAATGACTTCCATAATCTCGAAAGGCGGCTAATTTTTAAAAGTAAGAAAACAAGCATTCCAAGCTGTAAAAATTCATGATATATAGAAAAGAGATATAGTAATTGCGAAATCGAGATGGGAACATGCGACTTGAATGTGTTTTCAGGAAAATTAAACTTGTACCCTTACGAATGCCCACCTTTTTCTTGTCACTGTTCAACGGTGGATATAAGTGAACCTCAATCGAAACTATTACTTTTCTCAGAAGATCCAGTTAATAAATGGACTCTTAACTTTTAATTGCCACGAGTAAAAATCCAGGCAACAGTCACCAAACGTTTTGCATGCGTTGTCATAGTAACAGGTCATGTCCTTTTCCTTTCTTTCTCATGACTCGGAGAAACGCCTTACCCGAGTCAACCAATCGAATTTAAAAAAAACGTGGACATCGCCTAGTTAGCAACTTTAAAGTCAAGCTACCCCGGGGCACTCATTTATATGCCTTCTCTCTGGGGATCTCAATTAAGATGTTGAGCAAACAAGTCGTTCTAATGAGTACTGGGCTCTCTTTTAGTTGAACAAACATGGATTTGTAACCGCTTTAAGAGGAGTTTTGGCACAAATTTCGGTATATTAAAGCTAAGGTCACTTTCTTCGCACTCAAATCTGTCATGAAAGACTCTCAACTTCTTTCATAGCTGAATAAATGGAAAGGATATTGTAAATATATGGAACAGCTGAAAGTTCAAGGTAACGATTGTTTTATCTTTTCTTCTTGGTGATCTTAAAACGGGATTTTATATCCTCTTCCTCACGCCTGTTCATTAACTGTTCATTAACTGTCCTCCACTGTGTCGGTTTGGACTGAGTCTTCTCTACGACGAGGTTTTATAATTACGAAAGGTTTTATAATTACAGCCAGAAATATGCTGGTTTCGATTTCCGATCGTCAAACATCGTTTTCCCTAAAACGTCATGACAACCGAGAGCAAGCCGGAAATATTGATGTCATTTGATCTCGATAAAATCGGACGCGGCTGTAAAAAGCTCTTTTTAAAAGCCATCGAAAGGCATTCATGCTTTTGAAGCGCGAAATTCTTACCTCCAATTTTTTCATTTTTGGTTTCTTTTCTTGTCAGTTTTGCTGTTTTAAACTGTTGTTCCCTGCCCTTTTTGTTTTGTCTCGTTTATTTTTTTTCTCTTTCTCGAGAACAAAACCAATTTAAGTCATGAAAATAAGATCCGTTTTAAAGTACCTCTTAAGTCGAGTGGCAAGTTCTCCAAACAGGTGTTCTCGTGACAGAGGAAATGAACAGACATTGACAGTTCCTGCATAGAGCCTTATGAAATGAAATACAAACAACGATAAAAATTATTTGGCCTTGTACAAACAATACAATATACAGTTTCCTGCGCTCCCCACAAGAAATGGTTTATGGCGTACAGGACTAAAAGGTTTCATTAAAATTCCCTTAGCTGCCGTTCGAAATTCATACATGTTTATTCCAGAGGCGGTTAAAATGAGAAAGCGATTGGTTCGAGCAAAAAAGGTCACATTACTACGATAATTACCATATGCGTCGTAGCTCTTAATTTAGGTTTTAACCTTTTTTTTTCCATTTCCGTACATCAATCGAAGTTAATTTCTAGCGCGCACGTTATTTACGTGAAATAGATAGTCTTACATCAGTTTATTATTTTGGTTGATAATAGTTCACCTGTGTCGAATAAACAGGTAAAATTGAAGCGACGACTTAATGCCGCGCTTCTTAAAGGTACTTTTGTATAAGGTCACAAGAGAAATGATTTTTATGTCTTATTTCGGTCCTGGCTCATTTATTCGGTCAATCGTGCGTTGATTTACGATCTATACTTCACGTTTGCGCCGATTTTTGATTTGACCATAAGTTGATTAAAGAAAAAGTGTTTTTTTCGCGAAGCTGATATTAAAAATATTCTATTTCCTATCCCGAACCCCTGTCTATTTTGGTTTCAATATTCTCCCGGTAAAAACACATTTTAAGGTGTCCCAATTTTACTGCCTCTCTTGACATCTTGTCGTGTTACGCAATGCGCATAGCATTTGACATGCTTTTGGCATCAAATAACATTTTCTTTAATTAAGACTTGACACATATTTGCTATTTGCTTTAGCTGCTGTTCAATGCTTCTTTCAATTCAGTAGTGTAAAAAAATCCTTGAGTCCGACGTCAACTCAAGTTTTAGACACTTAACCCTTCCTAGACATACTTGATCGTCATCATTTCCCGGTATTACAATGGAAAAAGCCGCAACATTCGCGCCAATTCAAAACACTTCGTCCGCCAACATGACTGATCCAGTGCCAGAGTCTGGTTGTTTCCACGACGATGCATCTGCGATCAAATTTGCTCGTATTCTTCCATATATCCTCATAATTGCAATCTCCTTGATTGGAAACTCGATGGTGGTTGCCGTTGTTTTCAAAAATCAGCGCATGTGGACAACGGTGAATTTTTACATTGTCAACATGGCCGTTGCAGATCTTATAATTACACTCTATATGCCCAGAATGTTCACGATGGCTTTTGAGGGATTCGAATGGGTCGTTGGTGGAATAACCGGTGAGATCTTTTGTAAAATGTCCATCCTTCTCAATCAGGTTCCGATGATAGTTTCCATCTTCACTGTGGTTGCCATAAGCTTCGATCGTTTCAATGCAGTGGTCTTCCCGTTAAAACCTTTAGTTTCCACGCGAATCTGTAAAGTGATCATCCTTTGCACATGGCTGGTCGCAGTAGCGTTTCGTATTCCAACCATATACGCAGTGGAAATCATCACAAGCGAATCAGACGGCAAACCCTATTGTAACCTTAAACTAGACGAGAAATTCGGTAAAGGGGTTAAGAGAATTTACTATCACTTTAACATGATAGCCATATTTTCTGTTCCTCTTTTAATGATCGTTATCTTCTACACCACAATTATTGTGACACTAAAGCGAAGAAAAACACCTGGGCTCACTCCAGAAAATTCGTCCAACAGCGGTGAAGGATTCCGACGCAGAGAAGTTGTTAAAAAGAAGGTTCTTCGCTTGGTTTCCATCGTGGTTACCGCTTTTGTACTCTGCTGGTTTCTTTACTATGTCAGACTTTCTATGTATGCTTATGGTCGTGACCTCTCATGTGATTGGTTGTACGTTCGTCTTCTTTTAGCTCACATGAACAGCGCGCTAAATCCATGTTTGTACGCAATTTTTAGTGAAAACTACCGCAGAGGGTTTAAAAAGATCCTAGCTAGAGCTAACTTCTGTAAAAGACGTTCGCAAAGAGAAGATTCGCTAAGATCCGTTAGGTGGCACGGAGCTTGGGACAGCAACGGAAGTATCAGCATACGAATTGAGCAGGAAATTCAAAAATTATCCTCTCTGTAATCGTAAATTCGAGCGATAAACATGTTTTCCCTTCCTAAGAGTAAAATTGGAACGCTTACGGGAAACATTTCTGGTAAGCAAACCTTTTTAATTAATACAGGTGGCTTTCAATAGTGTTGGTGGTCATGCTCTTGATAGTTTTCCTTCACATTATTACCTGTCGAAATAGAGGGCTTAATCGACTTGAGCTATTACCTCACATTACCCAATTTTTCACAACGGCGAAAGGCGACCAGAGAAGTCTTACAGGGAAAAATATATTTCTGTGAATGTGTAAATAAACCGTGTAATAACTTTAAGGTCTGGGTTTAAAAATAATTTCCGATTTTTTACATGGTACGTTATAAGAATAACAAAATTCACTCAACTAAAATGGAAAAATATGTAAGAATTTCTTGATGAAAAATTCAATCCCGTTGAAATCAGCGTATATGCATAGGCACAAAAGTGTTATATGTATCACATTAAAGGGAGATTTTTAAAATAACTGGGTTCTGTTGGAGGCTGTCAGTTTGGTAATACCAGTGTCACCTCTTTTGTGAAATGTTTTCTAGCGAGCCAAGTCAATGTAAGTGCATTTAATTCAGTGCTGGAAAAAAGCTGTTTCTTTTACCGCAACGTGTTAAACAAATAGCAAGAAGACAAGAGAAAATTGAATTCGTCAATACGTACTTAGGTAAAGCAACTGTCACAGTTTGATTGATTTTCAATCATAGAGGCGGCATTTCTTTAGTTTTTGGAACAATATATTTATTCAAATTTCTGAAGGTTTGAGGCCGTCACGAAGGCTCCGGCGGACATGCAAAACAAATGATTTAAAATGTAATTAGGAATCGACATACATAAAAAGTAGAGTGATTTACAAGAACGTAAAAAAAACCGTAATTTTTTTGCAATTTGAAATATAGAACCTTGTATTAAAATTGTTCAATAACATTGAATGGAATTTCATGGTACCATAGAATAGCAAATTTCCAATAAAAATTTGTTGATTATGAGAGTCGTAGTACTTTACCCCTGCTACTGTATATTTCTTCCTAGTCGGGTTACTATGTATGACCTCAGAGAAAATCGTGTAGTATTTGAGGCGTTTGAGTTCTCGTCACCCATGCAGTTATAAAGGGAGTGAGCTTTTAAAGAAACTGTAGTGCTGTGTCAGTGGGAGAGTATAACAGGTAATTTAGTGTTGACAACTGACTTGAAAACTTAAATTAGCCACCGTAAAGATCGATTTTAAAAGCTGACTTTTCCAGCGTTAGCCATTCGTCAGAGCGATTTGAGGAATTGTGGGTTGTGTGCGGGTTTGTGTGCAGAAAATGGAGCCACGCTATTGTTGGGAATATGGTGACGAGAAAACAAGAATAAATTAGTAGAATTAAAAAAGTGCTCATTAATACCATGGGGATTAAGAGTGCCGATTTGGAAGATATGTTTTGCGGCTTTCCGAACTACCTAGATGTAGGGAGAGGCCGCAAACTACCATACGCTGTTTAAAATGATTAGGGAGATTCAAGTGTGTAGCGACTGGTTTGAATGCGTCCTTGTCATTTCTATCTACTTCGCGACGGTGTTCTCGGAATCGGTCACCTAGTCGTCTTCCTCTTTCACCAAGGTATAAATTTTTTTTAATAAGTGCAAGTTATGCAGTAAATGACATTGGCGGAGGTCCACGTAAAGTGATCAGTGATCTTAACGAATCTCTTAGGTCCTGACATTTTCTCTACCTTATGAATGAAAGGACAAGTTGTGCATCGTGAGCGAGCGTATTTGAAAGTTCCAGGTTGGTCATTAGTTTGAAATAAACTTCTGACCAAAAAGTTACCTATTTTTTGGTCACGTTTGAATGAAATTAGTGGAGGTTGCGAAAAGATAGTACCAGTCTCCGAATCGTTTTGGAGTAATTTAAAGTTTTTAAGAATAATAGATTTAACTGCGTGGTTGTGAGGGTGAAATGTGAGAGTGAATGGAATGCGGTCAGTGTTTTCTCTATCAGCCGTTTGTGGTGCTTGCTGTCGATCAATTTGTTGGGCACGGTGGTGGCCCGCTTGAACGACAGAACAGGATAGCTACGTTTATCGAAAAACTAGCACATTGCCTCTGATTTTTCGGAAAAATACATAAACGACGAAGTCTGAGAAACTGTGAAAAAGATATGGAATTCTTGACGTGTGATGGATGCGACGATGAACACATGAAGTAAATATGTGAGTTAGTCAATACCACGGCCCCAGACCTGAACTCTACGGCCGTTGTATTGACGACTGCATCGGCGCTACCTCTTCTACCAGAGAGGAGCTATCTCAATTTATAACCACCGTCAATTCCTTTCACCTGGCTCTTAAATATACATGGGAAATTTCTAACACTTCTTTGGCTTTTCTAGACATCAAAATTTCAATTGAAGGCAACAGTTAAAGCACTCGTGTTTACTACAAACCTACAGACTCACATAGTTACTTGTACATCACCATCCCGCATGGGTAAATTGATGGTTCGTATTCGAGTCAGTGCATGCTTTCTGCTTAAAAAAGACGATAGGGCATTTTATTATCATAATCTTCTTACAGAGTTAACAGGACATATGTTAATTACAAAAACTGACGCGTATGCTACAATTGCTCTTTTTCAAGTCTGATCGTTTTTCCGCCCTCACCAAAAAGCACAATCACCTACCACAAGGAAAAAAGTAATTAGTTGGTTAAGGACTTCTGAGGACAGTGAGGGCAACGGTAATAAAACTTTCTAAGTATCATTTTACTCTTCCCTGGTTGAATGGACGACTAAGTTGTGAAATATAATGGCGACTTTGACGACATTGAAAGCGGCTTTGAAATATAGAACGACTCAAAAGTCTCACGTGACAACCAGAAAAGGGCAACGTGACGTGGTTGTGCATAACAGGAAGAGATTGCAACAGACGGCTTTGGAAAAACTTTAAACTTATGTGCTTTTATAGAGTTTAACTCTATTCGCTCTGATCAATAGCACCAATTGCATAATTGGCGGCAGAGATCACTTTGACGACCACTTGATCGTTTACTGCACTCAGTATAGTTTTGGAGCGAAGGTTATGTTCAATTCGTTGCAAAATTCAGCTTTCAACTTTTCCAATATTTGACACACACAGAGATAATGCAGATCTGAACATAATGGAGACAATAAGTTTCCCTAGAGGATCACAAGTGTTTTCTTGATTTTTCATTGGCAGATCTAACCGGACGCAGTTTTCCAAACTAGTTATAATGCCAGAGTAGCTGAATGAACTTACCAGTATTATGTTGAACAGCATGAAGAACATACTGACTAGGAGTGGTACCAGTTTAGGATGAAAAGAATTGGCTGCAGTTGTGTCTTTGTCATTTGTGCAACTCTCTATTTCTTCTTCTGGATCTTCCTCAAAGTCAAACGGAAATTCATCATCCTCAATTATTGGTAGATCATCGTCACCTTCCTCCAAAAGATTTTGTTCTCGCTGCCATGATAAAATTGAAGATCGGATTATTTATAAGCCAATGTAAGGGGTCAATCAGTATTTATTCAAGGGGCAAGTCAGTCAAAAAAAAATTACAACTCTATTTTATCTTTTCCATCCTTAGCCATCCCTGTTCCTTTAGGGGTAAATTTTTTTTCCTTTGAAGTTTTTCTATCTTTCTCAGCTAGTATTTCATAGTCTCCCTCAAGTTGTAGGATATTTTCTTTGACCCAAGAATATTATAAGTATTGTTACCTCCCTCCATTAAAAAACGTATCCCTTTTTGCAGGGACGGGAGATTATTTTTAAAGTAGCAGGGCGACCATTCTTGTATAAAACAAATACGTAAGCTAGATCATCCTTGGTACTTCACAGAAGCTAGGCTGTGGAAATTTTTTTAGTAACTCAAAGATTTTAGAAAATTACGTACCATTAAGTCAAGCGTGTTTTCCTCTGTAGACCTTTCTAGTTGTAGTAGGTACATATACTCTTTCTTGCTTACGGAGCGCGAAGCGGATTTTTTTTACATGTTCTAGAGCAATTTTATAATATCGTTTGGAGGTTCTTTTAAAATGATCAGTCTTTATTTAGAGATAGTCTGTTTAATTGTGGGGACATAAAAAAGGACATAGCTTCTGGGATAAACTTTTATTTTAAATAACACGAAGGAGGAAAACTAAAAGAGTAGGCTGACAACCTCAGTTTGTTGAACAATAAAAATAAGCGTGATTTCTTTTACCTCAAAAACAGCAATCAATAGCATGGCTGTAATATAACTACTAAAATCTGCCTGAGGTCTTAAAATCGTCTTCCACCAAGATTTGACAAATACTGGAAGATTAAAAACGAAAACATGACACTAGTTTCACAAAAGAGGCAAAGCACAAAAGGTCGCGAAAAAACGGAATTACAAAGCCAATTGAAACGAAAATATATCATCTGTTGCCAGATCACTTCTAGTATACATTTGTGGAAATTGATTTTGCTTGACCTCTGATATCGGTCAAGGCATTCATTGATTTTAAAACAGTTTTATAGATTTTTAGAGGAAACAACCCAAGAACTTTGCATTATGAGGCCTAAACAGAGCAAAATTAAAATTTCAAATAAACTATTTCTTATTTCCCGACAAGATCGTTAATTTCTATGAAAGTTGTGTACTGGAAGCCTTTGGCCTTAAAGCTAAAGATAATTGATTCTGTTTTGTTGGTATTATCTAACCATCGGTAACAAAATGTGTCGGCAAGAATGCTTACCGCATAGATGACTCTCTGGATTAGACTCGCATCTCCCAAAAAATCCGCATGTTGTTGTTACTAACAAAACTACAGTAACAAACTTTTCAATTCCGTTCATGAAACTTTCAGATCGATTTCAAAAGGAATATTCTTGAATTTTGGCTGGAAAAGATGGTGCAACGGCTCACGAGAGCGGTAAGCTCAACGAATTCCCTGGTATACGTGTTGAGAGGCTATGATGTCATCAAACAGTGTTTATAAACGCAACAAATTGCGCGCGCTGAATCATTGCTGTATGCCAAGGTTTTCCATTTGATTTGGAACTTCCCGGCTTTGCAAAATAGCGTTTTAAGCAAGCTGTGAACAGTTTCTCTATAAATTACAACTTCTTGCTAATTGACCTGTATAAGACTGACTCAGCACAAGATCAGACTAAACCTAAAATGAACCCAGGCACGTGACTTGTTATGCTGATGCGAAAGAGTTGTTAACATGACTTCTACTAATTTATTACAATACCTCTTTTTTGCGTCCTAATTTAAATTTTAGCTCTCTTTTAATAAATGTTAATTTAATCTGAGATTAAAAACGTTACTTTATTCAATTTTCATGGGTTTCATATAGAATCAAAGTCAACAGACTGATTTTTGTTTACTTGCATATGACGGCCAATAGTATTGTTTTGAGGTGACGGACTTGAAGCTGCTTTTCTTTAATTTTATGACATGAAGTAGATCTGTTTTACAGATGTTAATATTTTGTAGTTAATATTTTATGATAAAACAGTTTTGCGGCATCAGTGTGACGCTAAAATTTATCAGGTTGGTATAGTAAGAGATTATATGTAAATAAAAGTAACACACAAAGATCTACCAGCTATTTCTCTCACATTTTTATATTTGTTTTCGGGAAAATGGCACTTCCTATTCATATGGCAGATTAATTTGATTTTTTTAACATCCTTTCAGTGCGTCGATATCTTTTTTTTGATCCTTCAGAAACTGAATTGCTTTGTGATCGAAATATAAAAAAATTCTGCATGCTACAAAAAGGATGTTCTGGAAAAAGTTCATTTTTCAATTACTCTAGACTGAACAAGAGGATTGGTAATTGAACTTTGGGTAAACAATGAAGTACTAAGTAAGTGTTGGCTTAATTAAAAACCGAATCCAAATTTGCAGTACTTCAAAGAGATTCACTCCATGAAGTCATTTACAGTGAGCTGCAGCTTCAGGTCGATGTGAAAGTTCGATTCATTTTTTGATAAATTTTTCAACTGCGTAATTTTTTTGTTTACTTCGAAATGAACCTACGCACTTTAAGCCTTACGTACTTAGGTGTTGTGTTTTTGAGTCTTGCTGTTCCAGAACAAGGAATCGCTGACGGTTCGAATAACCTTCCAGTTTTAGTCTGTAAGTAATTCAGTTTACCTTTTTTTTAGTGCTCTCGTCCGGATACACATTTATCTTCGCAAGATATACCTACAAAAAATATTTACACCACCCAGAAAATGTTGACTTTTTCCTTCTGGTTTAGAAGATAACTTTTTGGTTCAGGGGTGAAAGTGTTGGCTCTAAAACTGAGTATTTTAAAGCCATTTCTTCAAATAAACTGTGCCAGAGGACAGGAATACTGAGAAGTTCACAAAAAGAGGAAGATTGTATTGCATTATCTTTCAAAAGAGTTATCTTTTGAATAAACGCGAGCGCCGCCAATTGCAAAATGATTTTGTTTTCTTCCTGATTCAGATTCAAAGGACGACTTCATCGTGAGTTACAAAGGACAGAGTCTTAGTCTGAGAGATATTTTCCGTCGTCAGAATGTTGCTCCCCCGGAAGGAAAGTCGTTTTTCTATGAGGTTAAAAGACAGAAGACTTCGAAACACCAGTCATGCAAAGGCAGATGTTTTAGCGAAGAAAGGAAAAAGGACATGACCTGTTACTGTGACAACGCATGCAAAATGTTTGGTGACTGTTGCCTGAATTTTTACTCGAGGTAATTGTAAGCTAGGAGTCCCTAAATAAACTGGATTTGCCCAGAAAAGTAATAGTTTCGATTGAGGGTCACTAGTATCCACCGTTGCATAGTGACAAGAAAAGGTCGGAAAACGGTGGAGTTCGTTAAGCGTTCGAATTAGTTTTTTTCTGAGAAAATCTGGATGTTTAGCATTATCATTTGTTAGGGTAAAGATTTCCCCTCGCTTGACAACAGAAATTATTTTACACTGGTATTTTTAATTTTAACAATGAAAAGAGGAATGAATGAATTGTAAGTTGAAAAGAAATAATGCGAAGGGTTGGGCTAGTGCCCCTCAATTTATCTTACATCCGATTCTCAAGGTTTAATACCGTTACCATCGCATTTATTCGCCACAGGATTTGCTGCTTCTGATATTACATCCAAAATATTTGCAGAACCTTCCTTTTATCCTTTATTCGATTTTTTCCTCTCGCTTTTAGTCATCCCTCTTCTACTGGCGGCGTTTTTAACTGGTCCTCCCTACAGCCCTGAACCCATCTGGATTTCGCCGGAAAGTTAAAAATCTTATTCTCTCCATACATCGGGATTTTTTTTTTTTTTCGAAATTAGCCGCATTTCGAGCTGTGGAAATCATTTCAAATTCAGCGGTATCATAAAACTGGTCCACGGATTTGAATGAACCAAAATCAGACTGCTTCTAGCTTTAATTTAGAAAAGCTCATGGCCAGTTCTTCAAAAGTAAAGCTGACATTTTGAGCTCGAAGCCATCACTATAAACCTCTAACGAACGAGAGTAGCTCGGCAGATATTTACTGAAAAACCATTCCTTTCTTTCTTACTTTTCTGATATTTTGATAGTTCCATTTTCAAAACTATTTAGATTTCGATTTCGAATGTAGACAAAACTGATGAAAAAAATTAGCTAGTTCGGGTCTGGGATCTTCCGTGAGTCTTGAGAACTACCGGGGCCCACGGTCGCTTAGGCATCTGTCATTTGAAGTTATCATACAATACGTTGTGGGAGGGAGCGAGTTAGAAGCCTGAGACTAAGGAGAGCCTGATTAAACAATATTAGAATAAAGAGAGCAATTAGACCGAGGTCACTAAAACTTCGTTTGAAAACCGTTTCTTATGTCTTAACAAGCCTTTAACACCTCTTAACATGTCTTCCTCAGGTGCAGTCAGAATAGTAGTAATGCACTACTTCAGGATAAGGAATGTGGAGATGTCAACAGCTATTTATGGTCCGGGGTAATCATGCGATCTACTTGCAGTTCGCACGAAAATCAGAGCACCAAAGACTGCCATACCCTGACTGTCCAACAGTTGAATATGACTTTACAAAAAGAACTCGCTGTCTCTGCCAAAAATGTAACATATAGAAGCATCGCTTGTGCCAAATGTAATGATGAAGAAAATGCAAGTTTCTGGGCTTTAAGTATTTCGTGCAAAAGTACCACAGGAAATCCACCTGCTCCGAACATCACTGTTTTGACGAAGTTTTTGAAGGAGCACGAAGATTGTTCCTGGAAATACGCACCAACTCACAACCTTACAGGCCATTATAGAAGTTGTGTGGTAAAGGATGCACGCTGCGCTTCGAACAAGTCAAACATCTTGCCTATTGTTCGAGAATTGTGTGCTTTGTATTCCATGGTCTTCACAGTTGATGGTAAAAGAAGCTACAGGAATCCTCACTGTGCTTTGTGTAATCAAGAGGGATGGCTAATTCCTCAGCAAACTAACTCACCTGGGATATCGAGTGTAGGCCCGCCCTACACGCCTCCATTACGAATCCTTCTTGATGTGAGCCCAAACATAAAATTCACAACCGAATCGAGAGAGAAATCACAACCTACGATTAATACTGAAGCTCCGCGATTTCAAGTTTTCAACATGTCTTCGCAAGTGCTTAACTGTACATCAACTGGCATCAACAACTGCACTTGCCAAGCTTTGATTCTAGCAAATAATCAATCAATTCGGGCAAGCATGTCGTCAAACAAAACCCTTGTGACATTGACATCAAGTCGGATTTCATATGACGACGATTTCATAAGATTGCAGGGAAACGATGTTTCTAATTTGTGCCCAACAGCCCAGCCTGGACCATTAGATGCACTCACGAAATATGAAAATGACAGTTTAGTGCTGGTTCACATCACCTTTGCCGCTATGATTTTGTCCATCGTCTCGCTGTGTTTTCTTCTCGCTGTTTACCTGTCTTTTAAAGAACTGAGAAATCTGCCCGGGAGATGTGTGATCAATCTCTCCGGAGCGTTATTGTGTTATCAAGCATTTTTCCTCAGTGCAAAGAAGTCAACAGAAGTCCCTATCCTCTGTCAAGCAGTGGCAATTTTAATTCATTTCTTCGCTCTTTCCGCATTTTCATGGATGGCCGTTATGGCCTTTGATACAGCAAGTACCTTTACTCCAACAGGTAAGTGAACCCTTTATACGGGGACCGAGAGCAACCCACACCCAGAGGAAATTCCAACCGCTAAGGCCTGGTTGATTGTCAAAGGTGCACTCACTTCATGCTATGTAATTCACCCCAAACGAAGCAAACAATCGCCTCAGAAATTTAATTATTTCAGTATCCCGAAAAGAAACACCCTTATTATACAGACACACAGATGCAATTCACTGTATTCGGTGGGAAACGCACTTACGTGACCACAACTAGTGTCAGCAGGTAATTTAGTGTTAACAACTGAGTTGAAAAGGTAAATTAGCTATCGTAAAGGGTAAAAAAGCTGACGTTTCGAGCGTTAGCTTTTTTTACCCTTTGCGGTGGCTAATTTACCTTTCAACTCAGTTGTTAACACTAGATTACCTGCTATACGCTCCCACCGACGCAGCACCACAGTTTCTTTAGAAACTTACCCCTTTATTCATAGCTAGTCAACATTCCTTACTTATGTTAGCTTTCAAAACAATTGCCAAGCTGCCAAATACTAACAACATAACCATACCTTAATGTCATAGAGTATAACAAAAAAAAAGGAGGAATCATAAGAGACATTTGAATCGTGAAAACTTACAAAAAAGTCGTTCAAATGCCAAAACATTGTGATCGTCCTGAAATGTTCGTTCACCCATACATAGCACTTTTTCCTTTTCCCTGGTCTTTCTCCGCAACCTTTATGCCAATTTGCGTTATACTTGGATAAACACCGCGGCGAACTGAAATGACAACGCAGATAATTCATTAAGAAAATGTGCCTCATTAAACAGTGTTCCTTTTACTTTAACAAATTAGTGGCTGACACAAGTAGGCAACCATCAGACAACAGAAAGATCTTCAACAAGTATTGCATTCTGGGATGGGGACTTCCTGCTGTAATCGTTGGATTTTGCATTGTGTTGGACCTCATTGGAACTTTCCATGTCGGATACGGTTTGTAAACAAAACATCAGGCCCCGGTTGTTCAAAGGGTGACCAATGCTATCATCTGGATAAATCTCTATCCGGCGGAGAGCGCATTTTGTTCTATTAATTCTTATCCGCTGGAAAGCGAATTATCCATTGGATGGTGTTATATACGCTCTTTGAACAACTGAACCCTGAAAATTATATCCAAGCTACATGTAAACTCCCAGCTTGACTACTTTACCTACGTTTGATGACGTGCAGTGAAAAAAATCCCCTAGTTCGATAATTTTTGCTCGAACAAGTAAAGAATATATTCGAATCATTCATGAGATAAAATTAAAAGTTCAGAACAATTGGCCACACTAACTTTTTCATTCGCATCACGAAATAAGTTGCAATTTACTTTCAGATTTTTTTCCCATAGGAAATTTGCTCTTCTGTTGGATATCAGATAGCACAGCCCTAACTGTTGTCATGGTAACGCCTGTAAGCGCTGCTTTGATCTTCAATGTAATCTGCTTCGCAAAAAGCGTGTATGCCATTCGTCATTTACAACAGGTACGCGTATATAATATTGAAGCATGAAGCTTTCAGAGAGTATTAAACAGATTCATACAAGGTTCTTGGTTTAAACTACGATATCTACTGTTCTGAAGCAAGGTGACATAAAAAAACACTACTCTAAAGCTAAGGCTTAAAGCAATTTCCTTGCAGTATTTTCCTTTTTTTCTTCCACTCAGGCTGCCGCCCTTGCAGCATCTAACAGCTCTAAAGCTTCTCTGACTTTCATCTGCATCAAACTGACCACAGTCATGGGTTTGACCTGGATTCTGCAGCTTGCTGCTAATTGGAGACACACAGAGTTCTTACAATATCCCTCCGCTGTATTGAACAGCATGCAAGGTAAACGAGCTGGTTCGAGTTATTTGGATTAACCCGAGCGTAACAGCGAAGCTACGAATCCCTGTTTCTTCTCAATCCCAAAAAGATCCTGTACTTGTGCAAACTCTCCGTGCCGCAAGGATTTTTTTTTTATCTCCTTTCTTTTCTTTTTCGTATCTATTTAAATTTTTGGCAATCAAAACCAAAAAATTTATTTAATTTCGTTGACTTTATTCTTCCTTAATTTGGAGAAGATTTATTTCAAGTCTGCCATTTAGGCTTTAACCCGTGAGCAGAAGATTTACTGGGAGGCACCGCAATATTTAATTTGACAATATCTCGTAAAGATAGAATATTATAACTCCAACGCTCTTATCTTGATTTCATGCGATATAGCTCATTTACAAATACAATGTTTTACAGGGTTATTCATCACTTCGTGTTTTGTTACCACTAAGAAGGTGCGAGGTCTCTTCAAAGAGAGATTCTCTAATCGAAGAAGTCGTTCAGTTGAACCCCAAACAAACTCTGCTCGTGACCAACCTACTGTGGGAATCACTGATGTTGAAAGAGCTGAAGGTGCTACTATCGTTCCCAGGGAACAAGGGAGAACAAATTCTTAAAGAAGATAAACCTCTTTTTATGCACATGGAATAGAATGAGACTTTCGGCCTTTCCATTAAAGCTGTAACATAATGCGTGTGAAAACGAACACAGATTATTATGGGATAATTTGGTATTATCAACAGAGTTAATTACGTAAATTGGCTATCGTAAAGAGTTTCAAAGCTGACGTTTCGAGCGTTAGCCCTTCATCAGAGCGTCAGATCATTATGCATCTGAAAACTTTCGGCATATTACTCAAACGAGCTGCTTTACTAAATATGAAGATTTCAAAGCTGCTTAGCTAAAGGTAATTAGCTTACCGTAATACTGGAAGCTAGTATTATCATTGTTTATATTGTAAATGGTATGACTAGTAGTAATGAAAGTATTGAAAGTACACACTTTTTTTTTTTTTTGCCATAGCACGTCTGTTCATTGATAGATCACAGATGCAAATAACTGATGTATGTAATCTACTAGTGCGCGAACGCACGAACATCAATTGATGTTATTGCTGTAATAAGTATGTTATCGTGATTAAATAGGATTAAAAATCATATACCGGCAAAAACTTGAAATTGTAGAAAATTCGTGTAAACAAGTTTCGGTTGATCGAAGGATCGATCTGTGTTGTGCCTGTTGCTCAAGTCAACAAGTGTTTGATAAACGCTATATGTACTCTTCCAGTGTAATGAATTTCCATGTTTATGAACAAACGAACATCGATTGATGTTATTGCTGTAATAAGTATGTTATCGTGATTAAATAGGATTAAAAATCATATACCAGCAAAAACTTGAAATTGTAGAAAATTCGTCTAAACAAGTTTCGGTTGATCGAAGGATCGATCTGTGTTGTGCATGTTGCTTAAGTCAACAAGTGTTTGATAAACGCTATATGTACTCTTTCAGTGTAATGAATTTCCATGTTTATGATTGTCTGATAATCAGTAAAATCAATTCTCATTTATGAATTGGTTTTAACGTGTCAAACCACCATTTACGAGGCTAAAAAGGTTTGAATGACCAATTTCTATAATCCATCGAAAAACAAAACAATCATAATCCAAAAGAACTGCTCAGATCTTCTTCGCATATTTTTTCCGAGCTTTCTGTGACGTGCTATGAATGTCAGGATGCAATAAAATGTAATTAATTTTGAGCACAAAATGTAAGTACCTAATCATTTCAGGTTCTGAGTGTTTTTTTCTTCTTTTGTTTTGTTTTGTTTTGTTATTTTTGTTGTTGTTTGTTTGTTTGTTTGTTTAAGCTTTATTTAGCATTCTTCAGAAATTAAAGAACTATTTAAGTCAAATCTTTTTCCGAGCCACAAATTTAAATATTGATGTTTTTTCGTTTACTGCTGCTGTGTGGGATTATTTTTGGCTTGAAATAACCAAGAAGGTACCTATCACTAAGTAGTTTTCGACTCGTTGTGTAACGATCAAGCACCAACCAAGTTTATACTTCCAAAAGGAGAAAACTTAAGAAAACTGATCCATAATATATTCGATCAAATGTGACTCTTCGACCTCTGGAAGTGCTCCTCGTTATTTACATAAGCTGAGCCTTTTGTTATGATGAGACAGATAAGGAAACTCTGACAGCTGTATTAAAAAAAAAACCTTTAAAAAGCCGAAAAGTAAACACAGAGTCTAAATTTTTTAATGAAAACTGTCAAAGCAAGCTGGGTTTTTTTTAATTAATTATTATTGTGAATTTAACACAGATCAAGATGACGAGTTTAAATCTTAGAAATATACATTTTTTTTCGGAAAACGTCCCATTGAAGATTTTCTTATCACATCATCGTTATTATCTTTGGAGGAACAATTAAGTCTCTGATCTTTCAATTTTCCCCCTTTTAGTTGACAGCATGTTTTACTATCAATAAGTGGTGTGGAGAAGGCAGGTCTTTTAAGGTTCAACGGGGGCCATATATTAATGCAATTCCTAAATTAACAATTTTTCCAAATTCAAAACAATCAGATTCGTGTCAGGATGAGCAATCGATCTCCTTTATGGATTTTGACTAACGCTCGCTACTTTATTTGCTTACATCATGAAGAGCTTTTTACGAATGCATCTCGAAACCGTTATAGCACAGGTCAAAAGATGAAATATTGATATTTTTTTAATTTTGAAAATTAAAATAGCATTTGTACAGCATTTTCGTTTTTTTTAAAATAATTAAGCAATTGTGAAAAGGGGGTTTCTCTACGTCTTTGCATTTGGTTGATTGTCAAAAGGTTTTAGCTGATAAATTTTAAAGCTTAGTTAATTAACAAGCTGTTCAGCTGCTTTTTACAGGAATAAAAGTTCTTTTCATATTTGCTCTTTAGGTGTCAAAGCTCTGAACTGTATTTGCATTCTTAAAACTTGAAGTTTTTCTTGTGACAAATCGATCACGTTTACAGAAGGCGGCACGGTAGAAAAAAAAATCTTGTCCTTCGGTAAAATTTGACGATCGTGTTTAAAATATTCGTCGCTCTTAAAATGTGACTCTTTATTAGACTTTTTACACTTTCACATAAAGAAAAGGATATGGAATCACTTGGCCGGAAAAAGGTCATCGATAAAGAGAGAAAACCGGACAGCAGTGAGACATGAGATAATTATTGGCTTTATTAGTAACGACTTCAAGACGTTTTCATTTCAAAGCGGTTTTTTTCTTTTCATCAAGTCCTTCATTATGAACTATCGCTCGTAATCACATACATTCGCGAAAAAAGAGGAGGCGAGATGTGACACGAACATAAGAATTTCATTCATGGTTTAAGTAAGATTCTGCTTGGTTCATTGACTTTAAATGACCCTATGATCATGCATTCGAGAGTCTCTTGTCGAATATCGACTATTATTATTGTCACGGCGCTGTCGAGTCTTTTCTTGCCAGCAATGGGTAAAAAGTAAAAGTTTGAAAAATGGGAAAATTTTCTTGACAGGTATGAGTGTGCACAAATTTTTTTGGGTTTTTTATTATTATCACCTATTTCTTTAACTTTTCATTTTTCCTTAGCAAAATCCCAAACTAAGAACAAAGATATCAGATGTAAAATTCTCGTTTTCTCCTTTAGATGAATAAATACTATCTTCGAAGGAGTTACTGACACTGTAAGAGTAAGTGCCGCCAATTACCGTGTTGATCCTTTTCCTCTCTGATTCAGATTCAAGCGAAGATGACTTTGTTGTGAAGTTTAAGGGTGAAGTTATCAGTTTGAGAAATATTTCCAAACTTCTCCATCAGCAAAACATCACTCTACCAAACGAAAAGGAGTTTTTCAGAGTAATACTTCAACAGAAGAATTCCACAGCACAGTCATGTAGAGGCAGATGTTATGTTGGAGAAAGACAACAGTGTAAGAAATGTTATTATGATAAGGTTTGCGAAACATTTGGGGACTGTTGCTTTGATTTTTACTCGAGGTAAGACTCACTGAATTGAATTCATAATTTTTTTGTAGCGCGATTAAGATATGAAAATTCTTAGAATGAAGAGATTAACTTTTAGCCTTGTTAGATGCTATTACTTGGAGCAAAGTTACAATAGTGATACAGGAAAAGTATTCCGTTAGGTCGTTATCATGCTCTCGTTCTTGGTGCCCCTGTAGAAGCAAACTGTGCGAGCAAGCAAAGGAACAAATACAAATCAAAAAAGGGTATGGGCTCTCTATCAAATAAAGGAGTTAATAAAACTGGTGAGCCAAATTACATGAAATTAATGAAACCATTAGCTTCGTAAACACACAACTGACGAAAAATACTTTCCTATTATAGAGAGAAAATCCACGTAGAAAAATTAATTAGGATGTGTATGAACATGAGTAATGAATGACAGATCATGAAGATAAATGATGACAAGTGAAAGAGGGCAACGCAGAATCGCAAATGCGCTTGCCAACCGAAATTTTAGTTAAACTCAATATAAAATTGCCAGGTTAAAAAGAGAGTTGACACCAATTTTTGTCCTCAAAACTCCAACAGACAGCGATGAGTCGGTCACTGCGTAACCGAATTCTGGACTTAAAAAGATCAATTTATAGCGCAGTTTGATCTTTTAAAATAGAAACTAGCTATCCCATAAGGCGTCAGTGCACAATGATTCCTTTTTAGTTTTTTCACAAACCTAAAAACTACACTTTTTTCGGTAGGTGTCGTAAAATTTCAAGTTCTTTCTTTCCGGCGAACGTAGAATGTGGGAAGGTTGGCAGTTCATCTTGGTCATCTGGAATAGTCATGAGATCTACATGTGATTCACGTGTCAGTGCGAGTACAAAAGACTGTCATCGTATCCAAAGGTTGAATTTCACGCCATATAAAGAACTACCAGTGTATAGCTGGAAACACAATCTAACTTACAGAAGCATTGCCTGTGCGAGGTGTAACAAAGAAAAAAACATGTCTTTTTGGAGTCTCAACATCTCATGTAAATTTACCGCCGGACGAGGACCTGATCCAAACATCACTATTGTTGAGAAGTTTCTAAAGGAACACAACGACTGCTCATGGAAATATTCACCAACGCAAGCCATTGAAAAGTACCAACAGTTTTGTGTCATACATGATTCATCATGTTCTTCTAAAGAGCTGAGAATGCCATCTGCAGTCAGACAATTGTGTGCGCTGTACGCCATGACTTTTACAGTTGAGGATGGAAAAGGACGGCGCGAGTATAGAAATCCCCATTGTGCATTTTGTAATACCGAGGGAAGACTGAACACCGCTGAAAAACCAATATCTCCGATAGTGCCTCCATTGAACATCCTTCTAGACGTAAGCAAAAATATAGAGGAACCAGCTGCACCAAAACCTGTTCATCCAACAAACCCAGCTGAGACTCGAACAGTGAGCCATAATATTTCACTACAGGTTCTTAACTGCAGCTTAAAATTGGATAACTGTACAATTATCTTTAGAAATAAAACATGTCGGGTTTTCTATCCTGTGAAAAACCAATCAAATCAAACGATATATCCTTGGAACAAAAGTTTCACGATGGTGACGAATCAATCTTCATACGACGAAACTAATTTTCATATTTTGTGTCCAGATCATCTGACCAGAAAGAATGTATGGTACAGCGAAAGTTCAGCTCTCTTTCTCATCACATTTACTGGCATGCTTTTTTCCATATTCTCGCTCTGTTTGCTACTCATAGTCTACGTATCCTTCAAGGACCTTAAAAACCTTCCCGGACGATGTGTCATCAGTCTCTCTGCCGCGTTGCTGTTATATCAAATAATATTTCTCAGTGCTAAAAAATCAACAGAGGTTGATGTTCTTTGCAAAGCAGTCGCCATTTTACTCCACTTTTTTATTCTTTCTACATTTGCATGGATGAGTATTATGGCCTTTGATGCGGCAAATACGTTTTCCATCAAAGGTAGGTGACCGCAAAACAATACCGTCAGCGTGTTTCCATGAAAACTGCAAAAACAATGATAATAACTCACGCTTATCTTATCAATAAAGTACTCAACGTTACTGACAATTAACCGTTTCATGACTGACCTGAAATAGACCATAGACTGCAACTTACTCGCGGCCTCAAACCATATATGACGTGCAGTCTTTTATTGTTAATAAAGGCAAAACCAAATACGCTCCACGGTTTTATGCCAATGGCGAATTTTTCATTTATGGAATCAATGATTTCATAATGATAGCCAGCAGTAATTATGCTTTATCTATATTTTTATCACACAGTGACTGCCAGGAGAAGACAACCATCAGACACAAGAAAAATCTTCATCAAATATTGCATAGTGGGATGGGGACTTCCTGCAGTAATTGTTGGTTTATGTTCTGTGCTGGACCACACCGGAACCTTCCATATCGGATACGGTTTGTAGGAAGGCGCAATTAAATTGATATGTTTTGAAATGGCGAGTTTAAAAATCGATTCTTACTATCCTAGTTGACCTCGCACAGTCAATAATAATCATAACCATGATCTCTTTCAAAACTATTAAAAGAGCTACACAAAATTCTACTGGAAATATCAAAAGAAATACTGATTTAAGGACATGACCCTTTGCATTCTGTGTCTACTCATTTCCCAATTTTTTTTCCAAAGACCGCGCCTGGACTAAATTTTCTTTTTTTTTTTTTTTTCAAAGGAAATTTGGTTTATTGCTGGATATCCGATTCAAAAGCGTTGACTTTTGCTATGGTTATTCCTGTTAGCGCCACCTTGGTTTTCAATATAGTATGCTTCACCAAAAACATTTATGTCATTCATCACTTGCAGATGGTATGTATACTGTACTGTAAAACTTGGCAGTTCTACTGATAGACGCTCTTAACTATGTCGGAAGACATTCGAAGAATGGAACGCAGCTCGTGGCATAGAACACCAAAGCCAGTCATACTGAAAAGGACTATTTTTTCCATAATGGCTTCAAATGTACCAGGATATATAGGAAAAGAAAAGTTACCGTTAATATACAGATCATGATATGAGATCAATTTGGTTTTCTAACTATTTCAGATGCCACGACGCAATTTTTAGCGCGGCGGTGTTCCAGGTTTAGGTCCCGACTGGGATTATTTTATTGTGTTCTTGAGCAAGACGTTTTACTCTCATAATGCCTCTCCTCACCCATAGGTATTCATGATGACCAGCATAATTTCCTGGGGAACTGACGAATTTCTGGGTGTAACTCGCGATAAAAAAGGGTAATTTAGCATTATTAACTGAGTTAATAACGTAAACTGGCCACCGAAAAAGAGTTTCAAAGCTGGCGTTTCGAGAGTTAACCCTCCATCATTCTCTCTGACAAAGAGCTAATGCTTCAAATTTCAGCTTTGAAACGGTGGCCAGCTAGTGCTATCAACTCCGTTGATAATACTGAATTACCCTGTTATACTTTTCCACCGACGCAGCACCATAATTTCTTTAGAAACTTACCCCTTCGCAATAAAATAGTTTCCCTTTAAAGCAAAGTGGAACTAGCCTAAATTTAGGTCTTTAACATGTTGCAAGCTTTTTAAAAGGATTGATATTCAGCCTTTTCCTCTGTACAGGCTGCCAACATGGCAGTATCGAACCGCTCTAACGCGTCTTTGACCCTCATCTGCGTCAAACTGACCACAGTCATGGGTCTGACTTGGATTCTGGAGCTTGCTGCTAACTGGAAGCAAACGAACTTCCTGCGTTACCCATCTACTGTGTTAAACAGCTTACAAGGTATTGAAGCTTGACACTCATAGAAGGGCGTGGCTGAAGGTTAACCCTTTAACACCCAGGATCTGATTGTTCATTCTCCCCTCTACCTGCTACATATTTCCTTGTAAATCAGTTATGAGAACTTGGTGTTAGATCAAGATAACAACTTCTACCTGATCAGTTTGAATATTCTTATTACCCGTTTGCTGGATAATGTGAGGATGTTGTGGGGAGAAGTTTCATGTTGATCACTTCTGGGAATGAAAGGGTTAACGGGGGTTCATTTGACTCTCCTCTTTCTAAAGGAAGTGATACTTTATGATGATAAAAAGCTACCTAGTTTTTCCTTCAAAGCCATTACGACACAAGAGTTGGATTCTCTACTTGAAAAATCCTATTCTATATACGTCTCTAAGGTAATGTGAAATGAATAAAATATCAAAAATTAAATTGTTCCATTTGAAAGTTATATCATAGAAAGCTCCTCTTTCTTTTAAAAATTCATCATAGCCTCGATGTTGAGTCAGTTCATATCGATAATTTCTTTGTTTCGATTTCTTTCGCTTTACATCTTCACAGGATTTTTCATCACGTTGTGTTTTGTTACCACTAAAAAAGTCCGAGGTCTGGTCAGGGAAAGATTTTCCAAACGAAGAAATGAAGCAGTTAAAGTGCAAGCAAGCTCCTCTCGTGACCATCGTACAGGATTTACTAATGTTGAAAGAGCTTCAGGTTCATCCCCTGTTTCCTCGCGACGAGGGATGCAAAACTTTGCTTACAGTGTCTCTTGTGTCTGAATCCATCCATTTTCTTTTGTATCTGAAAGAAATTCGTTAGCACTAGTTGAAGAAAGCAAGACTATTTTAGTTTTAGGCAAATGAAGGTACTACGATCTTTTGGATTTGATGACAATAGAGATCAAAGACCTTGTAACAAATGGACGCTTTGTGGAGCAAAGGAACAGGGGAACAGTTTGAGCAGACCTTTCGTAGCTACTGGTATTTGATGAGCAAACAACAGGATGAGTTTATGATGAAAATGGAATTGAAATAGTGACCTACGTATTAAAACGATGGAATAACAATTATTTACAGGAGTAATTGTTTTACATGTGAGTCTTCAAGTATAAAAGAGAAACAATGAAACTGAAATTCCTCACTAACCTGTCCTCAAGAAACAAGTTTCTTGTAACAAGGGTACTTAATATTACTTTTTACATTTTTTCTATCAGGGGTGTTTTCTCAATAAACTGGTTCATTTTGAAGTAAAAACACTGGACGAAAAATTGAGGAATTGAGTTAATCCCTGCGCTGTATTGGATAAACCTTTAATATGGAGTCTTTTCAACACAGTTTCCACGTGATAAAATTGATTCACCAAGACGTTTACCATACCTTCGAGTCAGCTAAAGACACAAATCCACAAAGAGCGGTCATGGCCACAGTCTCTTCTTCGCAAAGCTGAAAAGTCCCCGTCTTCTAAGTGTAGAGATTTCGTAACACGATACTTTGGATTAGGGGTAAAAAAAAAAGAGTAGGACTGGAGATCACATGCCATGAAACCCATGAATCTTTTCAGCTTTGTTGCAAAATAAATTTTGAGCGTCATTTCCTCTTTCGCTTCTCCTCTCTGCCTGCGCTAAGAAGAACATTCTGAAATCCGTTTTTCTTCGTAGAAACGGCATTTCAGTCTCATTTTCCTGCTGAATTTTTCCTTAGTGGGAGTGAAAATTGACTGACAGTCCCACCGGCTAACCGCGTGAATCCGCGCAAATCTGCGTGTATTGTGCAGGGTAGTGTCGGACGAAAACACTGGGAACAAGCTAGAGATAAATTCATAAAACATGGCGGCGTAAACATCGGACAATGGAGTTAACTGCCTTTTTTTACACCAAAAGAGGCCCATTAATGGCTTCTTATGTATAACTTGTATTTCTTTTATGTAAAAAAATTATGCCACATTTGATAGTCACATCAACTGCTAGAGGTAAGCAATATTTTTAAAAAAAATTATTTCACGAACATTTTTCTGCAATGGTATACGGTTTCTGTTATTTTAAATTGCAATTTGATTTGAGTGCGTCATCACCATCTTGATTTAGTTTCAGTGAGGCATTTCCCTTTTTTTCGTTTTTTTCCACAAATTCCTGCTTGCCTGATGATGAAACTCCTTTCCAGCCACTTATAAATGCTAAGGGGTACTTTGATTTGAAACAGGGCATTGCTCTTGCATAGTTTGGGTGCCTCACCAACTAAATTTTGACCTACAGTGTGCGTGTAGATCGGAATTAACTCACACTGGAGATAGGCTGGCAGATTACTTCAATCAATTATTTCATCCTCCATTCAGAGAAGGTACCAAATTCTGCTTCATGTGAAGGATTTGAAAATTTTGATCACCTAATTTTCAATCAGTTGTGGAGATTGTTTTACTGTTACTATGTACAATTTTCCTGATACTGCATTTATTAACAGGGAAACCCTGTGTTAGAAAGGGTTTTGCACCTCTCCTATATATTTGTCATTTGTTTTTCAGGTATTGTATGGGCTGGTTTGGCCCAGATCAGATTGGCTTGGCTTGGATCAGTTGGATCATAATGGCTATAGAGTTTTTACTGACAAATAAATTGCTAATCTCTAGCTAATTCTAATATTCTCTGACAAGTTGTGTTTGCATTTATAATTACTTGTCAAAATCGCTGTCCTTTAATTAGCTGAGTTCATTATTTTCGTAGCACAAATTTTACTTGTTTAATTTTCCCCTCGGCAACTTATTTTCTGGTACATGTCAACCCCTTTGCAATATACAAAGTTTTCTTTCTCATGCATTATCACACTTATGGCATGACACCATTACCTTGTCACTCAGTCTAGTGTCAGTGTTATCTGCCATAAGGATTAACTTTGGAAAAGAATGGAGTGATTTTTATGTAACAGTCCACAAACAATAAATTGTTACTTCGTCAAGCAGTTCCTGTACATTCACAAATGAACATGGTATTTAACAGTATTTGCTCTCTGGGACCAATAACTACTGTTCTTTACTTTTATTTATACTAAATAGGGTCCACATTGAGAAGGGTTTTTTGTATAATAGGAATTCTGCTCAGATATACAAGCTGTCCATAATAAAGATTTCTCAGTGAGAGGTCCAGTTCAACCATATGCACATGATGTATAATGCTATTGCATATGTCAGCAGTACTGTTGCCACATACAACAGTAAGTTTATAAATTTAACTTGAGAGAGGACATCAGCCATCACTGAGAACTCATGAAGAAAATCTAACACAAATAAATGTTTTATTTTTCTATAGGTGGTACAAAAAGTACAATGTACAGTTAAAGTGAATTAACATCTTAAGCAATTTTTTTCTACAATGGAACTTTGTTACTTGAGGTAAGAAAACTGACACTAAGTGCTTTAAAAGGATAAAAAATTTTAAAAAATGATTGCAGACTTGTAGCAGATAAAATGTTAAGTGACAGAGTATCAAATTAACTGAATAACTGACTGACCTATCAACTTAATGAAAGGCTTACTAACTAACTGCCTGACCAACTACTTAAGGGATGGCCTGACTAAGGGACAGATGGACTGGCCATTTGACAGCTAGTATACTGACAGGCTGTGTTCACTGTAGGTTATTGATTGCTGGACAGAATGTTAGACTAGATTGCTGACTGACCAATTAACTGACAAACTAATTGATTGATGGCCTGACTTAGTGTTGGACCAACAACTGGTGGGCTTACAAATGATCAACTGCCAGTCTTGATGATGTGCTGACTTTCTGACTGACTCATTGGCTGACTGGCTGATAGAAAGAGTGACTGATTGACTGAGTGACTGATAAATCAATAAACCAACTGCTTAAAAAGTTTTGATATGTGATGCTAATAAACAAAGTTTAATTTTTCACCATAACCAAATTCACCATGGCCAGATTGTTTGTGGAAGGGGGGGGGAGGGTCACTGCACTCCTTTTTGAGTAACTAGCATGTAAAGTTAAGAGTAATGCTATGGAAATTGGTCACAAAAATGTTGAGAAATAGCTGAATATTTTTAGGTATCATGTTCAAGGGAACACTCAAAAAAGTGCAGACAGTATATTTCATCAAATATATTTGAGTTTAAAAATAATGAAACCATGTTAAGCCACCTTAGCTTGAAATAAAAATCAAATGAATATAAAAATACCATAAGATTTAATGAGTTTTGCTTGGTAATCATTTCTTTTAATTTCACTTATCAAATCCCATAACTCCTAAGAGTGATTAGCATCTAATATCTCTGTACAATATCACTCCTGTATCACACGTTAAGTTCATAAGAATAAAGGAAATGATCACCAACTAAAGAAGCTCTGGATTGTTAAACAAATTCTCCTTGTCAGAGCCTTAGAAAATGTATGGAGAAGAGTATGGAGAATATGCATACTGATGTTAGGGTGTTAAGGGTAAGGGGCTGTTTTCAAATCTCGAGCTTGTAGTCGTACTCGCATCGGAGCATCGACCTATCAGAAGAAATAACTTAAGTACTGCAGTAATTTACAACAAAAAACTGAATTCAAATTTGATAACAGCAGGTCATGTGGGCTGTGAGATTAATATACCGATTGCGAGTACTAAAAAGTAGATGGCCAAAACTTTTCTGTCCCTGTCCCAGCTATCACGGAGCTTCACGAAGCTATCTTACATATTAGTTCTTGTGACAAACATTCCTTTCAATCATTTTCTTTTAGGACTCTGTAGGCTTTACCTTGGCTGGCCTCCGTTTCATTCCAAGCGAGATGGAAGCTTAGAGAAGAGAAGCTTCTTGCAGACGGGAAAGAAAAAATGAAGAAGATTCGGAAGAAATCGCACACGATTTGCAATCAACTTTTGTCACTTTACCTTTTTAATTATTAAAAGAGTAATTTTGAAATGAACTGGAACACAGTCATTGCTGGGCACTTTGAAAAACTACCTGTAAGGAAAATTGGTCCCCAAAAATGAGGAACTGAAAAATGTTCCCCAATAATGCCCCCTGTATGGTCCTATTTCATTGGGTGTCCTGAGAAGCAACAACGTCCAGTAAAACAAAGGGGAAAGTCGCTATTAGCAAATGGAACTGAAAATGGAAACACGTGTAACTGCCTGAGGCGTGGGAAAACGCAAACGATACTGTTACGTTCGGTTTTAGTTCAGCATTTCATTGGGTGACAGGGTGGCGCCAGTTTTCCAGACAATATCAAAGTGAGATTATGCAAAACCAAAACAATCTGAGATTATTTTGGACGCTCTGTTACAAATTTTCTTGATTCTTTCCCATGATTCAAATTGTATCCCACTCTGCCTTCGTAACAAAGCCGTGTTCGACATTTCCAAAGCCTCTTTTTCAAAACGAGGGTAGGAGCTAAACCCTCTTCCAACCTCAGCGGTGCCAGCTCTTTTTTACTCGAAAGGAAAAATGTCTAGTCGTTCTTTGTTCTCTTCCACTCTAAATATGGATTTCAGATTCCATTCTAAAATCAGAGTGATCGGCTCTCTTTTCTAATCTGGTGTAGGTTACTTTCCAAACACAACTTTCCTTAAAAAATGATTCGAAAATTTATCTCTACATTTATCGGTTTCAAAGAATAATACTCATCAACTTGTTGCAGTGAAAAAACGCTAATGATGGCGTTCGAAAACTCTGCATTATAGGCTAACCATCATATCACATTGAGATACAGCGATGAGAAAACTTTCGACCACATCGCCTGACGAAGATTACCGTGTAACAATAGCAGTAGAAATTTCTCGATCTCAGGTAG